CTACCATTTAAAGAAGCTGGTGGACACGATGTAAATGAGTATTCATGATCTGAAATAAAGAAGCAACTGGTTTTCAACATTTTACTCAACTTACGAGTACAGTCCGCCATGCAGACACAAATGGCGCAAATGGGGAATTCTGGAATCGACCTCGACACCATTTGATGCAGTAAAACAACTTAACATGACCTTATCTAGTTTTCGTATCCACGATCAAATTTCTTTCCTGTTATAAAACTACGATAAGACTGCTGAAAAAATGGAATAAATATATCACTGATCTCAACATAATACATCAATAAACTTTAAGCCAAGGGTGCTGTTCACAACAAAGTTATGTAAGAGGATTGACTTCAAGCTTTTTTTCCCAGATATCCGCATTACATTCATCTGATGTCTGGGTTTTTTTTAACGCGAAGACAATATCTCTATATCTCTTTATGTGCTACACAAACAGACTTTATAGCAGACTGTTCCGTCTGACTCTAATGTCAGAAAGAACAACCAAACTGTAAATTCATCATACATCAATTTGTGTAATTTATATAATAACTTATCCATACCTGTACAATTGGTATGTTCCTGCATAAACAGGAAGAAATATATATTATTATAACTCCCATAGGACGAGCTTATTTTGAGTAACCAAGTTGTATGAAGGGATAGTTGACATGTTTTCAAGATCATAATTGCAAAATCCAGGAAAAGTATGTGGCAGATGTCCAGTGTCACAACTGCACTTTCGACGTACCGTGTAGTGTCAATCACGTCTCATAAACCGTTAATGCCCAGCTCTCGCTACGCTCGGGCCCACGCTGTTTTTTGAAGAATTCAGAAACGCTTAGTAATAACGGACGAAAAAACCAAAACACCGATCTGCGCTTGATATTTCTTTATTGTTACACCAACATATAAAAGGAAAAAGTGAACTAAGGTCTGAAAACAAATACTAAAATAATAAATCATTGTATTACTTCTGACGATGTCAATCACGTCTCATAAACCGTTAATGCCCAGCTCTCGCTACGCTAGGGCCCACGCTGTTCCTTTGAGTTTCAGAAACGCTTAGTAATAACGGACGCAAAAACCAAAACACCGATCTGCCGCTTGTTATTTCTTTATTGTTACACCAACATATAAAAGGAATAAACGAACTAAGCAAACTAAGGTCTGAAAACAAATATTACAATAATAAATCATAAGATTACTTCTGACGATGTTTCACTCTTCTTTCTGAACAGCGACCGATGAGACGATGACTGTCGTATTGATGCCTCCGCGAAAATTGGGGAAGTTGATTTTGAGCAAACAACCAAGAATTGATCGTTCAATCTTCAACTCCATTGACACTCCCCGGCAAAAAAGGGATCCAACCCTTTTTTCCTTCACGACCAATACACGTTGACTTGGATGCCATTGCGAGAACCTGGGTCACACGGACAGAGCTGAAATGGAAAACAAACAGAAAAGCCAACACACCACAAGCATACCCACAGCACAATCTCACACATCAATGACGACCTGCGCGTCCAGACAGAGACCTCCTCTTGACATCTTGCAACACAATCGCCATTTGCTAGAATGACTCTTGCAGAATGCAAAGTGACCATGGCAGCACCTCACGATACTCTACGCACATCCTCTTAATTACTCACTACCAATTACCATTGAAATCGCTTGTCACTCATTCTGCCTCAGTTCTAGTAGCGGTGACGCATGCGAGCCTCAGTCGTTTACACTCTTTCTCCCCGGCGTGTCGGACCGCAGCTAACAATTATCTCCGTGTGCATTTCATTCTCAGCAATAGCCTAGCCTCCCCGGCGTATACGACCCATCTGCTGTCTCTAACATCAATCAATTCATTCACGGATGTAGAAGACTCGAAACAACTTCAGAAATAATCACGACGAAAATTTTAACAAAATTATGCAATAACAACAAGACACGAAAACAACGAGTAAACACAATTGATCCAAAATCACAAATTGCAAAGACACACCACACGTATACACAAACAGTACAAATAACCTCGCGGATCATGTCTTGGTGGAATTCCTTTGAAGAATTGCAGGACTTACACCAGTACGCCTACAACCCATCTCAAGTTGACGATTGTAATTTGTGGAATGTCCAGACACAAACAAGATTAACCAACAATTACATCAATTGGAACTCACACAATTATTTAACACAAACATATGTACAATCAACACATCAAATGTTGTGGATTCTGGCACGACAAACTACCCTTGAAGAACTGTAGGACTTACAGCAGTACGCCTACATTCCTTCTCAGGTTGATGATCCAAGTGGAAGTCGTCCGGACACAAACAGAATTACCAACAGCTAGATGACAGATGATATCAATTCAGTATATACAATATGAACATATGTACAAGATCATACACCAAGCACATTGGACTGCTCATTGATGCGCTACCCTTTGAAGAACTGTAGGACTTACACCAGTACGCCTACAACCCTTCTCAGGTTGACGCCTTAGGTTGGAAAATCGTCGCAGAGTTCATTTGCTGACTTCCTTCTATGAGCTAAATCCTCAAATCTGAACGGCAACACGCCCATGTCATTGTATCGTAGAATATAGATGACGAACAAACACACAACATATCTCATCAACCAAGTGTAGAAACAGAGTAATTTACACCAAAGATAATAGCATTCAAATAGTAACTTGAAACTAGAAATGCCTTTATTCGTGCAAGTCAATTTAACAATAACTCTCTCGTTTACACTTGGCTTATCCTCACTAAACTGAGCAATATGTTTCGTCTTTTCAAACGCACCAATACTATCATAGTCATTGCAGAAGATACTTGAGTTGATGGGCATCTGTTTCATTGTGGATGAAAACACCAACGATGACTGAGTGACACAAGGTGATGAACTTAGCGGTGGATCAGAAGCTGTTCTTTTTCGGCTTTCAGATAGTTGTCCAACTGCAAGATTACCACCACTGCTGTCTTTCACTACTAGTTCGGGTTTAGCACTATCATCTGATGATAGGTGGGCTACACGCTGATCAATTACACTGACTGTCTCACAAGTATGCACACCTTTTGGAACTGCATCTGCGTTCAATTCTACTTCACGTTGTAGTTGTACAGAACCTTTATTTAACTTAGCAGTAGTAGGCATATCCCTCATCTCATAATGATCAACCAAAGACAACTGTGAAGTATCATGATCATTATCACGAATATTCACTTTACCGTCAACTTCATCATTTTCAAACTCTTTAATAACAGAAGTAGACAATTTTGGTTCCTCCTCACAAATCATTAAAGGTTTTATATCTTCACTCTGACTAGTAATACCTTGTAAACTTGTGGAGTCAGAACTGCACTCTGAAGCAGTAACTCTATTCTGTGACACTCTATTCAACAATGGCTTACCAGTTGCAACTACAGACTTCTTCACAACACCGTTATCGTCACACAATTCGGAGTCAGACCTGGAGTTTACATTTAGCTTATCACTGAACTTGCTCACCGGTTCACAGTTCACTTCTGTATGCACCTCTTGCACACGTGTAAACACAACCGTGTTTGTCTTGCATCTTGTAACTTATCTGTTGAGGATGTACTACGAAACCTGTTACACTCACTAGGTCTATATGCATTACTAGACATCATGGAGTCTTCTCGATATCCACCTCTCTGAGGCCTACTCGTCATCAATGATTGCATTTTGATCTCAGACTGCTCTATTCTAGGGGTGAGATTCAATAGACTGGCGAACTTGCTCATAGATTGATTGACACTATCTTTTACCAGTTTCAGGATATCATCAAACTTTGGCTCGATACCCTCATCCTCCATACGGGAGCTTATCTTCACCCACTTCCTTTGCAGTCGAGTAGGTAGACGTCTTGCTATTACTTCTAGTATAAAACTCGAGTTGAGGTCACTCATGCGATTCATCGAAATCATTCCATTCTTGTAAATTAGCAAATTATCTAAAAACTCAGTGAGTGCCTGGGAGTCATCCTGTAATTGACCACCATTACCCTTAACAGCCTCGAATAATTTCCCTGCAATCATCGAAGGTCTTCCAAACCTTTGACGTAATATGCTCATAGCCTCGTAGTAGCCCTCTTTTGGCTTCATAAACTTACAGCACTGTATAGCTCTTGCAGCATCTCCAGTGCAATACCTCATCAAATACATTAACTTCAATTCATCACTTAATAAAAACCACTCAACATGATCTCAAACTCCTTTACAAATTGTAAATAATCAGCCGGGTTTCCATCAAAACACCGTGGTTCAAATTTAGGGAGTTTGATGTTCCTATTATCCCTGAACGGCGAAACAGTAACATCAACCATGTCATGCTTAACATCAGACACATCGTTACAATTAACAGACAAGTCACCATGACTTACTTTCCTGTTTGCATCCAAGACACTCTGTCCCTTCTTTGACCCAGGCATTGTTGAACTTGACCCAATTCCAAAAAGTTCCAGATATTGCTTGTTCAAAGAGGACTTGACCGGCACCAGGAAAATGAACGGCGACTATCCAAACTTTCACCAACTGTTTGAATCCGCCAGATCTGTTTCCATCGTCAGAAACTGTCAATCACGTCTCATAAACCGTTAATGCCCAGCTCTCGCTACGCTCGGGCCCACGCTGTTCTTTGAGTTTCAGAAACGCTTAGTAATAACGGACGCAAAAACCAAAACACCGATCTGCCGCTTGTTATTTCTTTATTGTTACACCAACATATAAAAGGAATAAACGAACTAAGCAACTAAGGTCTGAAAACAAATATTACAATAATAAATCATAAGATTACTTCTGACGATGTTTCACTCTTCTTTCTGAACAGCGACCGATGAGACGATGACTGTCGTATTGATGCCTCCGCGAAAATTGGGGAAGTTGATTTTGAGCAAACAACCAAGAATTGATCGTTCAATCTTCAACTCCATTGATATGTAGTCTCTGGGAAACGCTACGTAGTAAACTTCACATGTGATGAACTTTCACTTATGTGAGGGCGGACCTAAAGCGACTTCATCCAAAACATTGAGGATCTTCCTTGCTGTTATTTTCAAACCACTGTTCTTGAAAGTAAGAGCAACTTATGTTTAAAATGAACATATGCAGCCTGTCGTTTCTGAGTTTTTATGATGGTCTTTCGCGACCGATGGATTTAGATTGCTGAAATTTCTTTAAAGAATGCATATGGGCCAGATAATTATTCTCTTTGCAAGAATAATGTGAAACTAATGAGTTTAGGGAAGTGATTATGTCTGCCTCATTATTCGAAATTACTCCCCACTGACGCAAACATCTGATGTGGAGCCAAATCAACGCTGCATTAAATAGGTACACAAAATGAAAGAAGACAGATTTTGGGCAGACAGCAAACTCTACTAGTACACAAGTGAAAATATGTAATCAGGAACAGAAAATGTAGAAACAGGAGTCAACTACACGGACACTAAGTGGAAAAGTACCATCTTTTCCAATGCTTCCGCCTTTTTACCCAAAATCCTTGATAGGATTTTATGCGTGCTGTCTTCTGAACATGCCAACTGATTGGCTGCCTCAGAATTTCACAGAAATCTACAAATTATCATTTGAATTACAGAACTTTAGAAAATATTCTGCAGAGAGTTTGAAAGCTGGGTTAGAAAAACCTCAAACAACTTACTTCTGACTTAAAGTGAGATCCAGGATTTCAATATATATGTACCAATTATTGTTCTAGTAAATCGCAAACTATCTGTAAATAGTTTGGCAACTTTTCAAAGGTTGCGTTAATTTGGCTGAATGACGTGAGTTTGCAGTTATTATGAATTCCATGTCTATTTTTACGGGTCAAAAGTTAAAAATAACAGCTAAATATAGGATTCCACGTCACATTAAAATTTCTCATAACTCAGTATTCCTTATAAACGTCATTTGGCGTCTCATGGTTGTCACCATATACATTTTCTCGCAATAGAACTTGAGTGTGACTTTCCGTGTGAGTTAGTATCAGTTGGCTTAGTTGTAGAATGTCAGTAGTAATTTGCATCTGCCTATGACGTTTCAATTTATAGGACAGCATTCGACTTTGTGTGATGATTATAATTATCCTTTTTGTTGGGGACTGTGTAAGGGACCGTAAAAATCATATTGTTACGTACTCCACAACTGGGCTGCATTTGTAGACTAATATTTCTGTTGTATCAAGAGGAAATTCCCGCTTATTCACCATTGTTGCTAGTTTCAGCTTTGAGCCACATTCATAAGACGGCAGCAATCTTTTGACTTATTGAACTATTTTGATTTGTCAGCTTAATCTATTGTTTAATTGACTTTTACTATTTTTATGGTATATTACCGTTTAATTATAGTGTTTCTGTGCATCAGTCATAGGAGTATTAGAAGAAGACTTTGATAATTTAAAACTTCAGTATCCATTTCAGTGGGTCTATATACTCATACGGATTTCACTCGGTTTCAGCTTTTAGTTTGTTATTTGGTGTAATATGCGTGCAAATGGTATCACACACGTCGATATCCAAGTTCCCAAGCTGAAGTGAATTAATAAACTTGAAGTTTCTGCCATCATTTATATCCAAAATTGTCTCGGGGAGGCGTAGTGTTTGCTGGTTACTACTATCAGTTTTTCGGTTAGCTATGAGGTGACAGTCATAATAGTGTAGGAGTAGGTAATACACAATGGATCGAATATAGTAAATACCTAAATCTTGCTTCGAGATTTAGGAGGAAATGGCCAATCCATATCGAAGATCTAATCTAGTCTATTTTGACCGTTCACTCACTGAGGTTGCTTCTGTGAGAATTCGATTGAAAACCATTTTCTCCTGCTTCTTTTTGAGTGTTGTCATGGCTTCTGTACATCTGTAGATGACGTAAACAGTGTAACACTCTTGAGTGATTACCACTTTTATAAAGTTGGCCTTAGTACTACAAAGTTCGTTTGTGTTCTTCCTTTTACTGTAAATCTCTGGAGTCAGCGAAAGCTTCATCGTTCGTGAAACCTACCAAATTTTGATTGAAACTGCGTTGCTTTCACACTGACAGTAGTTACTGTCCGAATAATCGTTTCTTAAGGATGCGTTGCTTTTTCCAGTTAGAATATAACTGAGTATATAGGAAATTCCAATGGTCTCCTGAGTTAGGTTTTGATTTTTGGAGCAGTTATGTCTACATAACCAATAAGTATAGACTTGCATAAGCGTTTAAATGCTACAGGTAGCTGGTTGGTTCATTTCTTGCGAAAGCATCTATAGAATTTTTTACTCCACATGCTGCCTAATACTTATAGTCTTTTCGAGTATAATTTGTCGTATTGATCAGAACAAACTAGTCACCCCGGGAGGAGAACACATGGGAGAAAAACTTATTCTACTTCAAAGTATTGTACTTTATGCGCACAGTGTACACAAATAACCATATAGTCTGTGGTATATGACCAGATACATTAAAGCCAATACAAAAAGTTGCTAATGTAGGCGTGTAGAATAGATAAAAACTCTTAAACCTAGTGGAGGTTAGGTAAAATGTATCCGAATAGTTCTTAATGCGAGTTAACACGAAAGAGAGTTGAATTTTCGAACACTAAAAATTTATCTCTATATCAAAGGCGTGATGATACGAAGACCTTATGGTCCTGCTTATTAGAATTGTCAACGTCACACAGCCTTCTGGAAACTACGTAACATCCTGAGAATGTGTTTCTTAGTTTTCCATTCGAATTCTGCAACTTCTAAGTTTAAGACAGCATTACAGCCTTGTAGTATCCATTACTGTGCCAGTGTTTTGTATAATCAAATCCATAAGACCAAATATTCATCTCTGCATAAAACCCTGGCTTTCGTATAAATCGTGGAGAGGAGTGCTGAAAAGTAGTTACTCTAATGACTAAACATTAAGTCAGTGCAACATAGCACACCATTGCTTTTGCTGTTTTTGTACACTACTGAGTCAATCTCATCCAAACTCCCGTAAAAAACTAACCTGTAAAGAGTAATAAAACCGTGACAACTCTATTCCTCTTAGTTATTATAAACGGAGAGGTAAATCAGTACTGAGATATTAATTTACAGGTGATAGGTCGAGATAAACACAAAACGCCTTGTTTTTTCCGGTGATAACTAAAACTTTTATAGCGTCTTTATTTGTCAGCAAGATATCAGCTTACGATAATAATCTTTAAAAGGGAAACCAGGCGACTACAACTTTGTCCTTATAAGATTTCAAGGTAGCTGAACAAGTTTTATAGCTCAAGAATGAACCATATGATTAGTCATTAATATATAAGTCTGTTACTGACTCACTGATGAATCAGAGTGAAATTTCGCACAGATATGCACCAGTTCAGTTTGCTACAATTTGAAAAATACTCATAAAGGAATAGAACAGATGTATAGTCTAACCACAGGGAGCAAATCGCGCATGGAAGAAAGAATAGTGGAAAGTATTTATGTCCAGAATTTCAATGACCATGAGGAGTAATTACTAACATTTTTGTGAACTATATTGGCCACTGCACTCAAAGTCTGCAGTGATTGATCCTTCTTAATAGATAGTGGTTTATTCAGTAGGCAGTGTTTTATTGTAATAAAAACTACCGGATACATTTTTGTACTCGTAAAATACCAGATTCGTCTTCTCATATTATTTGAAAGCAGCAGATTAAAAAAACCGTACCTATTGCTCCATGTCTGTCAGTAATAAGTCATGAGTTTAGGTACGTGGCCATCAATTATAGCTCACACAAAGTTCTTCAAAGTGCATAACTGAATCGTATCATAAACTTATGACTCGTGAAATATAGCTCATTATACAAATGCTTAAAGGATTATTGATCTGCTTACATATATCAATAATAAGATCAGAAAGTCTTAATTCCACTTGAAACAGTTTTTTTCATCGTCATCAATCATTTTCCTTTCTCTAACTATTTCATGTGGAATTTGCTTACGTTCATATGGTGTTTACACATGTTCCCCTATCGAAAGGAAATTCCAGAAATATCTCTTTTTTACATGAACTTCTTAGTGTTTAACTCAACCATCATTCAGTGTTTCGGTTTGACTGTCGAATGTTAAAGTGATTCAGCGAAGAGACTCTTTTCAACGAATTTATCATCAAGCTGTACAGTCGTATGCATATATGGTTTTTAAGAACTTATATCCGGCGAGGGAATTGAATCATAGATGTGAATGCATAAAATAATAATAATAGTATGAAATGCAATTAAAACTAAATGTTTGTGATTATAATCATAGTTAAATGTCAAGTGGCAAAACAAACTGTCATATACAAAATAATTCATAGGATGGATAGAACTTGAAAAAGGGTGTAAAATTATAGGATTAGTAGACAAATAGAATAAAATAAAAAACGTTAACTAATATTGTGTGAAATTTAATAGCATGGAATCCAACATTGTAAAAAGAGAATTGATATAGAATGACAAGTGGAGCAAGTGAAATAATAGCAGGTACAGTTCAAAGTGAGAGTAGTAATAGTAACAATTGATGTGGTAAGGAAGAGACTACAAATTGAATAGACAAAATGAAAAATTGGTAGAGCTAAAATATGATTGGGGATTACCATACTTTAGCATAGAGGGATTAAGACCATGAAAGTTGGAGGGGTTGAACGGACTTTTTATGTACACAGAAATCTGACTTTTCTGTTTCGATAGCCAAAGCTTCAGCAATACAGATGAGTCGGATACTTAGGGATTTGGGTAAGTTACTCTTTGCCTTGTAGATGACTTTAAAGGCGGAGGCTATAGAGATGGGGTGATCATTATTGACCAGATATTCAATGATCGCGTTTCTTATCGCTCCACTTCCACCTCTTCGTAACCATGCAGGATAGTGTTCTTGCACCCTATTGGACAAAGCTCGAGTCGAACGACCGATATACCTAGTTCCACACAATTGTACAGGTTGATGATAAATTCGTTGAAATGAGTCTCTTCGCTAAATCACTTGTTTTGATTTTCTATATTTTACAGTAGAAAATTTCCATAAATATTAAAATGTCTCTTGAAGTGTATTTTTAGAAATGGAGAAAACTACGTAATTCATTGTAAAGTCTTACTTCTCCAGAAGCTTTAATCGTTTTGATGTCGAATTTGATGTCCCCTTGTCTTATTTTCTCTTAACCAGTTCATTTATTTCCTTTATTTTGCAGACACTTGTGTATCCCTCGCCAATGACCGTCCAAAATGATGTTTTTCGTCAGTTATACAAATGTCACGGTGTTGACTTTGACCTTTCAAGAGGTGGCAAAGACAGCCTACTCTTACAGATACCGAAGACGCGATCAACTTTGAGTTTATTAACTCTATCTCAAAATCAGCTTGAAAGAGTTAATGTAATTCTATTGTCATTTTTCCTTTGAAATACTAGATTATCTCTGAATTACGTGATGGTGAAAATGTACTTGTTAATGATTTAAAAATAGTTGTAAAGGTAAATATATTGAAAATTTCTATCCGTCTAATCCCAGGTTTATAAACATCCATTAGAAAAGTTAGGAATACTTACCTCAACAGAGATATACCAACTTTTTTATACCATTGAATCAGTTATACCCATATTTGAAAGTTTGTTCAACTCTACTATATACATACTTATTCTCTAGGGTTAATAAATGATATTTCCTTGGAATTTAATAAATCTTTTGGTCTGCCGGTTATAGGAACGATCTTATCTATCTGGGTAAGTTAACTTCTGTGGGAATTTTTTTCTTTTTTTGATTTATGATTGTAAAGGTGGTTTCTCTTATCCATCTCAGGTAGAATTCAGCTTATCATGCACAATATAAATCCTTTCGGTTAGTGTATGTGTGTTACTTTTGTGTCTCAGAAACTTGGTTGAATTTCTATGCAATTTAGCAAATAGTCACACTTATTGTGTGAGGGCTAGTGCACTACTACTTGGTTGCCTCAACTTCAGCAGATGTAGTGGGGGCAGAAATCTGTGACGCAGTAGTTGGAAGTCGAGCTTCTAGGCCAATAAGACACGACTCCGTATGCACGTTTGTTTGAATAGATATAACAGCAGGATAAGGGAATAAGTTTGTACAGAATTTATATATTGCTGGATATATATTTAGGGTCTTTCCACTTTTTAAGTTTACGGAGAGTGTTATATGAGGACAAACGACAGATACTGATTCTTTCAAGATTCTTGTGACCATATTTGTTACAGTTCACTGAGGATATATCATTTAGAAAGATTTCCATTTATGTATGCTTGTATGTTGTCTTGAGCATGCTCGCCTATCCTATATGAACACCAAATAACCACTACTTAGCGAAATACTGCTGGGATTTCCTTATGAATTCGACGGGGTGGTTACTTTAGACAGTTTTACTGGATCTGTAGTCCTAAAGTGAAGTTTGAGCTATTGTATGTTGATTGCCTACTGCTAGTCAGAGTATTAGAATTCTATAAATATGCTTAGCTCTACTTTTACTTGATAACCTCTCATCCTTAATGACGGTGGTAACAGAGGAAGTAAGATGTTTATGACGCCTATATAAATAAAGTGCACAAGGCAAAAAGAAAAAGCCTTCTATAGTTGTAGCTAGATCACTTGCAAGGTTTAAGGTCACTTAGGCAAGGTCTTTGGTTGCCTCGGTGGTTCAACAGTAGAATGCCCCTAAACACGCACTTATCCCAGGGTTTGTTTCCTAGTCAACGCACTCCTAAGCCCCGCCAAGCCGGAAGTAACTCGGGTCTGGAGGAAAGGTTGGGCATGAGGTTAGCAGCCTCATTCCGTAAAAACAACCCAAGCGCTACTGAAAATCCAAAGCTTGAAGGCCTGTGTGTTCCACTCTGAACGCAGAGGAATGAAGTAAAAATAAAGTTGGTTAACTAAGGGATGTTGGCTTCTTGATTTATACGGTGTGATTATAAACTCGTCCCAGTGTAGTAGCCACATGCAAAACTCGATTGATACGTAGATTTTTAGAAACGACACTAATTTCCGGCCAGTCATCTATTTTGTACTTAATCTCATTATGCTAGGTATCTTTTGTAGCTTTTATGCTGTACTCATAAATCCATTAAATTTCTTATTGAGTAATTTTGACTCAACTTGGGAAACTGCACAGCAGTACGGCTACTTAAATTGCCAACCTTTATAGAACAAAAAATAGGCTTTAGAGAGAAGGGCGATTGAATGTACAGGAGAAGGTTGAAGTTTTAGTGATTCTGGATCTTAGCAAGAAGAGAATATATCTGCGCTATTGAGAAGGATTTTGAGCGATGTCATGAACAGTCTCCAGCCATTGGTTCATAGCTTCTTGAAGACCCAAGCCGGGTAGTTTATACCCTTCTATGTGGCTCTAACCGACAGATAAGGACTTCATGGACTAATGGCAAGTTTTGACTTGACGACCCGTAACTTTCTACTGACCTAATTCTATTATCATTTAGTACCGTTTGTGGATGAGTGCTATGGCTTGAAATGCACAACAAATATACTAGCCATCTCAATCGATTTAACTTCACAATATCAAGTCACCAAAAGAATTTAGTCGTCTATGCTGTTTGGTAGGGATAAAAAGGAGTACGGCATTTCTATGAGTTCCTTGAAAGTACCTTTACGCCTTTAGTGTTGGCAAAAGACGCAATTCTGCATTTAATTTTTTTCATACATTTTTAATGATTTATGTTTTAATTCTATCTTATATTACAGTTAGGTGTCGATATGTTATTGACAGAGCCGTCATCGAAATATCTTGATTTTAGTCAAAATTGGTATTCATTAACATCGAGATACATTCATTCCGTTTGTGAGAACTATGTGAATACAATGCCGTCATCAATTAAAATTCTCCTGGATTATTCAGTTCACTTATATGAAGCTCGTAAATATTTCGATGCTTTACGCCAAAAAAAGCCTGCTTTCACTGACTTTCTTTCGCGGTGTTCACAGACAAATTTCAGTAAACGTTTGGATTTATGGCATTTTTTAGGTAATCACTTTTGTTTTTTTCTAAAATGTCCTATAAATGTCATTCATTGTATATATTTAGTTTAGATTGTGTGTCAGTGATCTAAAGATCTGAAACTTAAGTTTGGTTTGAATCCACCGGATTAAGGCGCCTGGTAAGTAGTTGAGAGGCCATCGTTCAAATCTATTACTTGTGGTGCGGATATATATATATATATATAGACTTGAACTGACTCATCTCTGTTAGACTCTGCATTGATCTGTGTCATTCGGTAAGTCAGTAAAGCTTATCTAATTCTCTCTCAACAAAGGTGAATACCCTAAACCTTGAAAACGTATTTGTGTGGGCGAACAGACTTATTGTGATTATTCCTTCGGGTTCCAAGTGGAACATACGGCTTCAGCAGCACATCTCCATTTCGCTCGGTTCTCTACAAGACTCTCCTCTCCATAAGCTTTCGTCTCCACTTCACATCATCTCCATGTCACTCTTGGACGCCCAACTCATTGTTTCCCATCCAAGTCCCACTCAAGAGTCGCCTTGTGATGATACCACTCAATGGTCTCCCCAGCGTATGTCCTCCATCCAATCCATCTCCACTTCTTACTGCATATTTTTTAGGCGATAGATTCGTGGTTTGTTTGTTATCAGAGTTTGTTCTTTATAATCCTTCCTTGCCACCTGATTTTAATTGTGGAGCTAAGGTGGCTATTGATAAAAGTTCCGGCTACGCTCCAATTCTCGGAACCACATAGAAGACTTTAGTGTTGGAAATCCGAATCTTGTTCTGTATGCTGGGTGCAACAGATTCTCACACTGATTTTACACTAGTGAAGGTCTGAAGATCTCTCTTGCTCTTTCACTCCTGCATCTGACGTTCTCATCCGTGCCGCCTGTAGTTGAAACGGTGTGACCTAGATAAGGGAAAGGCACAACTGCCCTGTGTTTGCTGCCAGTGTCTTCTGACAGCTACTTGGTTTGCGCCTATAGATCTTCGAGTTTGTGTGACACTAGATAAAAATCGCCCACGGAGTCCAAATCTTCTATAGTATTATTGTTAGCCCAACGTATGCCTGTCCTCTCGCTCCCCACGACTTGCTTCATATTCCAGTCCACTAAAATCAGGTTTATCAGTGGTGATGTAGTAGGCAGCCTTGTCTTACTCTTCTCTTCACCACTTAAATACTCAGTGAAATGAGTAGCTATCATCTGTATCATATAAAACTTTACTTCGCTTCTTTAAGATGTTCTCTAATAAGTAGCCTGTCAGAGACAATGAAGCAAACGTGTAAACAAGTAATATCACGTCGGCGGTACAGCGGTTAAGATGCTCACCGACCATGCACATGGTTCGGGGTTCGATCCCCGGCCAACGCACACCTGATATCAATGGTCAGCCTACTAAATTTGGGCTACCGAAAATACTGTATGAAATCAGTTTAAGTTGCCACAACCCGTGTATTACACAGTGTTAGACAAAAGACAGAAAAAAAGGAGATTCGAAAGAGCTGTAATGAAAACAAATGTACAACAGAAAGAATATTGAAGGAAAAACATGTGAGGATTTAATGAATATGGAATTTAACAAACTGTAAATGTTCATCTGTTCCATCATCGAGAACAATTTCGGGGCATAATACCAATACTTGTCTGTCACTGGCTTTTAGCATCCCGAGGATCCCAATCAGGTAGTCTACACCTCCCTACATGGCTCAAGCCACCTATCAAAGGCTTCATTGGATGATATCAGATTTCGGTTTGACCACCCCTAACTCTTTTCCAACCTAACCATATATCAGTCCAACGATTTCTAACTGTTCCGGTGCACGATGTTGCTGCATTGCTATACAATGTCATTTGGAATTCAAACTTGGCTTAATGGGATGTACAACTGGTAGATTCCATTCAGAAATCATTGATAATAATAATAATAATTTGCTTTATTCCAAAACAGTACTTATGATGCAATATGGAATTTTCGACATATGATACAATATTGCATCTAATTTACTCAACAGTAACGAAATGACCATTTTACAGGGAGGGTATAGGTAACCAAGATTGATGTTAACAACCTTTTAGTATTAGCAGTGACAAAAAAGTCAGAAATGTACAAAAAGTATAAAGTGGTAATAATAATATTGTTAATAATTAAAATTATACGATAATTGAAATGGTGTCACCGTAAATTACAAATAGGCTAAGATGTGAGAGTCATTTATTTAGCCAATTACACAGTAAGATCTAAGTTTCATTCTTTTAACACTATTCCTTATTATATATCACGCGGGTCAAGTAGAATGTCGTTGAGTTTTCTACTTGGTTGTGCGAGCGTATAATCTTTTTTAATGACTACTAGTCCTACCTGATGAGATGCAAATGTAGAGTTATGTAGATAGTCAGACAGTATGGAATTAGATCATTTCTCACATGAGTTCAGATCTCTATCAACTACAACGGTAACAAGATGACTGACTTAGTAGCACACTACTTACCCTACTGACAACCGTTAATACCCTTTGCAATATGGAATGGCCCTTTTTGAGTAGCCCAGGAATGACTAAGTGTGTGTGTATGGGGGGGGGGGTAAAGCAATAAAGAACAATATGTAAGATGCAAGAGTTGACAAATTGTAAAATTTGAAGGTTAAACGGAATATTTTCCTAGAAATTGAGGTCAGAAGGTGGAATTACTCCAAGGTATTTTATGCTTGACGACCCAGAGACTTCATGGCAGCCTACTGACTTCAATATATTAAGGTCCTAGATTTAATACACCACGACGTCTTAATTGTCCATCGTCAAAGCGTCTCAAAATTGGAAGTGACAGCTACACTCTTGGTTTTTTAATGGTTTTCTTAAGTGATTTTAATTCGTCATGGGGTCTACGTTTTTTTGGTTTTTATGCACCACGGTATGAACCACATACTTATCGTGTGTGTGTGTGTGTGTATGTGTGCTGACAATACTACGCAGTTGACTAGGTTAAAATAAATAGAGTGAGACTCGAACAAATGCCTCTTTGACTGAAAGTTGAGTGTTCAGCCTAATGATTTACATCTTCACTAGACTCTCACTATGAAATTATTTAGATTCACATCATCCTGGAGAGAATAAAGGACGCACTCGATACAGAACTCCGGCCAGAACAAGCTGAATTCAGGAAAGACAAATCATGTTCTGACCAAATCATCACAGAACAAAGCATGGAATGGCAATCAAACCTCTACCTTAACTTTATAGACTTTGAGAAGGCCTTCGACAGCGTTAACGGTGAAGTAATTTGGAAACTACTCGAGTACTACGGTGTACGCCAAATATTCATCAACCTTATTCAACAGCTGTACGACAACGGCACATGTCAAGTGATCCACAACGGAAAACTCAGCGGGGCGTTTGGAGTAAACACAGGAGTCAGACAAGGGTGCTTATTATCACCTACGATGATATTCCTAATTGTGGTGGACTGGATTATGCGCCAGACAGTGGGAAATGGGCAGACAGGGAATATCCTGGACCGACCGACGTGAAGAACCTAGAAGACCTGGATTTCGCGCGTGGATGATTTATGTTTGATGTCACACAAAATCGAAGACTTACAAGCGAAAACCGACAAACTGGTCGAAGAAGCAGATAGTGAAGACAGGAGTCCAGGTGAACATAGACAAGACGGAGGTTATGAAAATAACCAACCAACCAACGAACAACAGCAACAACAAAAACAGCAGGTACATCCAGCGCCAATCATCATCAACGGGAGGGATTTGAAAGAGGTTACTTCATTCACTCACTTATCTAGGGAGCATTGTGTCAACTACAGGCAATCGGGACGGACGAGGATGTCAAATCGAGCGAGAATCGGGAAGGCGAGCGAGAAACACATTCATCAACCTGAAACCAATCTGGAAATCTTCGTCACTCAGCCAGCATCAACAACAAAATTCGGTCGGATTTTCAATACAAACGTCAAGTCAGTCAGTCAGTTCTTCTATGGGGATCAGAAACGGCACTTGGCGGATCACAAAGAATATTTCCAACAGCCTGTTGCAGACCTTTATCAACCAACAACTGTCTTCGCTGGATCTATACTGAAGATCAATCAGATGGCCGGGCCGGAAAGAATCACCAACAAGAAACTATGGGAAGGAACAAAGAAAACAAGAACAAACCAATCGCCAACCAACAAATGTACAGGAGAAAGTGGAGATGGATGGATTGGACACTCGCTCGCTGATGAGGCCGCTGAGTGACATCGCGCTCGCGTCAATCCATTGCTGGAGTGGAACGAGGCCGAAAGGAAAGCGGCGAGTGTGTCGTCAGTGCAAGGGTGACATGGAGGAGATGGTGTGAAGAGGAGTTGGTTGAAAGAGTATGGACTAAGATGGATTCAGGTGAAAAGTACAGCAGAAGGAAGACAGAAGGAAGTAGAGACGTGCAATTGAAGCCTTATGTCCCACTAGGAATCCAAGGGAACGATAATAATAATAATTTAGACTCAACGACATAATTTCAGAGATATTTATATCCCTTTCATTTAATTAGTCTGTTACACACTTTCGCCCTTCCTTCGTCGTCTTCTTCTTCTTCGTTTTTCTGTTTTGAAATGATTTTTAGTTTTTCTAACTGTTCCTCTTTTATTTCCCCCCTGTGTTCAACAGAATGTCCTAAAACCAGACTGATTCGATATCCCCTGCTACTTGATCGGTTGATCAAACTGGTGAGTTTTTCTTGTTGTTGTTGTTTATTTCCATTATTTAAAAAGGATTAGTAAATAATTCATTTCTTACCGATTATTTGCACTTTTTTATTTTTATTTTTCTTATCGGTAATTTGTCTCTAGCCATCACGGTCACCATTATCACTATTATCATCATAATATGCAGAGAAATACCTATATATATATATATATATATATATATATATATATATATATATATATATATATATATATATATATATATATATATATATACGTATATGTTTTCAACTTGTAAAGAAATGCCTCCATTAGTAATTTATGAAGTAGCTTACTCAATTTTAAGTAGTATATAGATATGCGTTTTACTTAATTCTTTCCTTCTCTTTCCCCCTTTTCTTCTCCTGGTTTGATTTTTAAGGTTATCTATTGTCCACTACTTCTAATTTATTTATACATTGATTTGTCTGTGTTGAAAATAATCTGACGATATGCCTTTCGCCTTTTATCTTTCTTCTTTTGTATTATCTTCATTCTTATCCCTTAGTTCCTGTGTATTGTAGTTAAATCATGAATTGTTATGCTACTCTTTAGTTTTGCTTCTTCAGAATCACACACACACACACACAATCACACACAGAGACATACAGAGAAAGGATTTTGAGAGTAAGTTAGATAGGAACGATTATAAGTATTGACCATTTGGTTGACTACATCTACTTTTTGAATTAAGTAGTTAGAGCAGTTGTTTCTGCTATTCTTTTCTTGCATTCTTAGGGAAGCATGATGGAGTGTGGGGGGGGTGTACACTCAGTTGTCTGCCATTCCTTCCAACAGGCTCCATGACTGCCTACATTTTTTTCATTTTTCTTCTCACACAATCTCTACTATGTCATCATCGAACACATGCTCAACTCCACTCACAGACATGATGTATGACATAAGTTGAAGGTCTTCTCAATGTATGTTCAGTTCATCTACATATTTGTTGGTTGGGCGACAGATTGTAGTCAAGTTCTCTGACTGAAGGAGTTCCTTGTTTATAATAAAGGTTTTTTTGTATTTCCCAATGAATGAAAAACAAAACGATGTCGTTTTTACTGACGTTTCGCTATTTAATGCTGCTGCTAATAGCTTTATCAAAGTATTATTAAACCAGAATTTACAAATTCTCAGTTCGCATGTAACTATTTAATCTTCGTTCATCAGCATTTAATAATATTTACGTTGTCAAGCTGGTCAACTGGTAAAGATAACAAAACCAGGTGTAGATTGTTGGATTCGATAAGTGTGTAAAGTTATAAAAGCAATGTGTGTTCGTCTACATACTGAAATTGCTTATCACATTCGTGCTGATTTTGTCATTTCATGGGGAAGAAGGTCAAATCCTGTTTTAGTCCACCATTTTTTATTCAAACAATTTGGATTCCACTTGATATGAAGTGCTTCTGATGACATTAGACGTTCTTTATTATTTCTGAAAATTTTCTGGTTTATTTCAGTATTGTCAAAATCAATTTTGTGGCCTGATTCTATAGCGTGTTGACGAGCTACAGCTGATGATTTTTCAAGCTTTTCTAGTTCAATTGGATTTATCGGTAGTCGAAGAGATGCTCTACGGTGTTCATTTCTTCTGACTTAGATTTCTCGCGATGTTTATCGCATCACATTCCAAACATTTTATTTTATAGACATAATACCTCACTGATGTTATCCTTGAGGAAATGAAGGTGTAAGAATAAGGCATTTTTTGAAACTTTTGGTACTTTGGCCTGCTTTAACTTTTGATTCATATTCGCATAGATGAATTTTTTTGGACAAAAGCTCTCACTAAGCAACTGTTTAGTAATATTAGGCTCTTCATTAAGACATTCATCAGGGCAGATTGCTCTTGCTGTGTGAATAAAGCCCTTTGGCAGATTGCATTTGTATTTCAAAGGCACAAAGCTGAGAAAATGAGTATGCTTACCAGTTGGTGTTGGTTTCCATATACACTTCTTATTGTACCGTCCTCTTTTTCAGTCATAAGGACGTCTAGAAATGAAATGCTAGAGTCTCTTTGTTTCTCGACGGTAAGATTTATTGCAGTCTGGACATTGTTAAATTTGTCCAGGATGTTCTTTGCTTCATCCTCATTTTTCATAATCAAAAATGTATCATCCATGTACCAACAGCAGAATTCTAGTTCACCAATTACACCTTTCAAAGGCCCATTTTCTAGTTTCGCAAGGGAAATGTCGGCTAGAATGGGTCCTAGTGGTGACCCCACTGCCATACCATAAATTTGCCTGTATAGTTCTTTATTATATAAAAAGTGGACATTCATTGGGCATTTCGAGAGAAGCTCTGTTCCAAAAGGTATAGGAATGCCGTCATCGATGTTTCGTCTTTTGAGTTCTTCACATACAAATTTTACTGTTTCCATAAGTAGTACATTGGGGAATAAAGAAGATACGTCAAATGATATCATGAATTTATTGTCAACATTTATATCTTTCATCCTTTCTACAAATCCAAAGGTGTCTTTTACTCTGTGTTTCATCAATTCAGTATGTAGAGGCTGTAAGAGTTTGACTAATAATTTAGCTATGGTAATACTGGTCGAGGTGGCAAACCATTTTTGTGCACTTTTGGCGAACCATATAATCTTGTTGTGATCGTTCCAGTAGGTTTCAGTGATGTATACTGGCTGTGTTATAAGATGAAGCCTTGTTGTTTCAGTCTTCTCAGTGTTTCAGCTAACTGTTTCTGTGTCTTTTCAATCGGATCCAGAGAAGATAAGATTTTTTGGAATTTTAGATCATCATTAAGAATAGTATTCATCTTCTCGAAATAATGACGATTATTGTAGAATATTCTGTGTTCATATATATATATATATATATATATATATATATATATATATATATATATATATATATATATATATATATATATATATATATATATATGAGATGCTCACTAGCTACTTGCCCTATTCAGGTAGGTAGTTATCTGGGGGTTCCAGTTGGAAGTCGTGACTAGTAGGGTGCAGCAGGTCGGCTGTGAGGACAAACACTCACTGAAGACATTGGCTAGTGGTCACGCTATATCGTGAATTGGCAGAAGTTAGAATTCATGGGCTGGCTGGCCATTGGATCAGGTCCCAGTGGCTTAATGGTCTACGAGTTGGCTCGCCTTGTGACCAGAAGGTCCTGGCTTCGAACCCTGTCGGTGGGTGAGTACTGATGAAGAGTCCCAAACTAGGACGGGGGAAACAACTGTGCAGTACTCCCTGGCTGATTTCCCAATGGTTCTTTAACTGATGTCAGCTCATGATGAAATCCTGTAACCAATCAATCAAATCCCTACAAACCAACACTTGAATATATATATATATATATATATATATATATATATATATATTGATTACAGCTTGATTCCACACCGTATTTTTTGGTACAAGTATGGAATTTTCAGCATGTGATATCGGTAGCCCATATTTCGCAGGCCGACCAATTGATATCAGGTGTGCGTCGGCAGGGGATCGAACCTCGAACCATGTGCATGGTCGGCAAGAGTCCTTACCACTGTGCCACCGACGCATATATATATATATATATATATATATATATATATATATATATATGTATTTGTTAGATCCAGAAGAGGAAATCATTGAAAAGGATATTCTTTGTTGATTAATCTGTCTGTTGCATATTTCTTAGTTTGAGACTGTAAAGCACACTACATGATATCGTACGTCGACACATCTTGTGTGATCTATTTTGTAAATGCAATATAGTAGTAAAAAGTATAAAAACAGATAACTAAGCATTTTAGCACATATTCACGCATAATATAATAATGACAATTTTTCCAATATTTATAAACTAATTTTTAAAAAATATGTTATTAGACTCTAGTTTGAATAAAAAATTCTTTCACTTTTAGACACCAACATCAGATCCTGAATTCAGTCATCTGCTTATTGTCCGATCAGCATTCACTTGTATTGCTCAAGAATTAAATCGTAGAATTGGTTCAGCTATGCGTGATTTATACTTGGAGCATATTGAATTCAATTTGGCTTCAGAGGTTAGTTTCACGTTTGTTTTAGTTTCAGTTATTTTGTGCTGAGATTACTAAGGTGTTGTGTAGAGTTTTACTCCGTGTATTAGTCACTAAAAGTACTCATTTCAAAGTAGACTACAATGATGCGTCACTAAGTTTGGTGAGATCATGTTGCAAACTTGACTGGTAGAATATCAATAACAAGGAGTAGACAGTTGATACGATACCGCCTAGTGACAAATCAATGTGTTCACTGTAGTTCTACAGGAGGTCATTCGGGAGCCCATATTACAACTCCAACACGGGTTCAAATATCCAAGTGGAAACCAGTTCCTTCAATGCTGTACACTGCCTTTCTGATGAATTGCAATAAGCATGAAATGTAAGCCTAAGGCTTCCTGCTGATTGCCTCAAACTATCTGAACAGGATGCTTCACTTGAACTAGGTTTTGTGCATTTGCAATCTTATGTAACAACTTATGGCTCCTAAAAGATAAGTGTGTTGAATATGTATGATCCTAACTGGTTATATTGTGTATCAGTTTTTCCAACATCTTTTCCCATTTCCTCTACCATGACTTCTGCTGTTTACTGTTTTGACTCGTATATGTTCATATCGATAATTCTGTTCTCACTGCATATCATTATGATCGAAAACTGCATCATTTGTTGTGAGCTAAATGGGTCCTGGGTACGAGTTCTGATCCACCTGCTTCAGTCTAGCAAACTGTGTGCTATCATCACCTCTCAGACAACAAGTGTAATGTGTTACTGGCAGCTGAGTTTTTACATAGCAGTCCAAGATTTTATTGTTAGGCTGTTCAGACCACTAGGAGCTCACTAGGGATATATGTTATAAATATTTGGATAGCATTCAGGTAAAAGTGGACAAAAATAAAGTTTTGGAAGTATGCCTCAAATAATTGTTGCGTACTAGGTAGATTTATTTGGGTATAAAACGCAGCAGTACAGTTTGATTAGTTGATTGACTTTCTGAGAACACTTTATTGCTCAAATTGACCACAATCGCCCCTAAATTCTGATAAACAGTTGTATTCTGAACGTCATCTTTTTAATAATACTTTTTCATTGCGGGCTATTTCAAATGGGTTGATGAAATTATACCCTTAATTTTACTGATACCCATCACATCACTACCAACTTGAATTGAGTCCATCATCATCACCGTACTATTATTACTATTCTTCACTTAGGTTCCTGGTGGAAAACAGGGCTTCGACGGCATATTGTCATTTCACTCTATACTCTACAGTCTTTTCGAGCCGACTACATGATTGCTGCAAAGCTTCCATTTTCTCCTCACACGATCTCCTTCATGCCACATTTAGACGCTCAATTCGTCGTCTCCCATCTGCGTTACACTTGAGGACCTGGAGAGTGGTGCAACTCAACGGTCTCTTTGGAGCATTTATAATCCGTCAACATTTTCCTCCGCATATTCGTTGGTTTATGGGTCCTTAGTCGATTTGTCGCCAGATTTTACTGCCTGTTATGGTTTTTGACCATCTGATGTTCAGCATCGAGCCGAAGCAGGTGTTGGTGAAAATCTATAATTCCCTTTTGAAAATGCATTTGGTGGTGCGCACTCCAGTTCTTTGAACTATGTAGACACATTGACTTGAAATAAGTGTTGGAAATTCAGATCTTGTTCTTTATACTGGGTGCAGTGGACCTCCACACTGATTTCAACTCATGAACACATCTCTTGCTTTTTCGATCGTGGTTAGCCTTGACATGCTTATCCGTGCCGCATGTAGTTGAAACGGTGAGGCCGTAGATAAGTGAAAGAGTCGACCGGTTTTAGGTTTCCCCTGTTGGTGGTGATTGGCACTTGTCGTTGTTGTCCTTGTTGCTGAATGGATATTTTCATCACTTCTGTCTTCTTGGTATTCACCTGAATTTACATTATCGCTCTTTCCTGCTAATTTGTTGGTTCTCGCTTGTACGCCTTCAGTGTTTTGCTACTTGAGGCGTAAGCCATCATCGTCATCTTTTTCATGAGTTCATTTCCAATGTATCTTTATTTAGGTGTGTAAATAACTATCTGTATATGGCTGTTGTTAGATGTGTAGCAGTGCATCACTAGTTTAAGCAATCAACTGCCATCCACTGGATCACAGATTCGAACCGTGCTGCATCTCTACTGAGGTTTAGTCTACCGGACAGTATCATAGGCTCCTCTAAAACAATGAGTGTGGCGGCGCATTGGCTACTTCATGAAACTGAGAGTGATTGTTGAGTGACATTTCATTTATTTCAACTGTTTTTGACTAAGTTTCAGCGTAGAACTTGGCACAGAAGCGTAACAGTTCATGTCGTCACACTCCAGGTAGCACACACAGGTAGAGAAGAAATATTCAATGGAACTTCAATGAACTGAAATTTATGGGAATTTAAGGGACCTGGGCATTCATAAACAGTGAACACGTCTGTTCCATTCAGAAGCATTTTGAGCCATGTCACCAACAGTTTTGAGCTACTGGTTGTTAGTGTTTTGAGAACCCAAGCCAGACAGTCTACACTGTCCTACGTGGCTCAAACTAACAGTGAAATACCTCATGGACCGATTCCATGTTTTAGTTTGATGACTCCTAATCCTCTAAAAACCTAATGCGCTAATAAGTTCATATTGATCGTCGGAGAATTTGATGGCTTCTCATACATAACAGCTTCAAAACCTCATCAGTTGATTTCCCTTTCTTATCTGGCAGTCTAAGCCTAACCTCATTGTCACTGACGATATTATACTCACTTGTGTGTGCGTGTAGGGGGAGGGTGATAAAACGCTAACATGTATGGTCTTCGATTCTTCCACTTTCAATGGCCATGTCTCACAACCATCAAGAAGAATGGATCGAATGGCTATTGTTTTTAAATAAGACCATGTTGATAGTTGACCAATATAAGCCAATTAAAAGGGTTTACGCTTTAAATTTAATGTGCTCTGTGCTACTTACAAGTAGTCATTGGTGATTTTTGAAGATTATTCCGAGGAACTCATACAGAAATCAAGTCTACTGCTATGAATACTCAGTTGAGCGTTTTGAATCATGAATTTTATCTTAAGATGTCTAATTTTAGATGAGGGAAGTTATGTCTTTCACTTATCTCATCAGCAGCGATTCAACTATGGGCGCGTCATCACTGAGGATGTTAAAACCATAATCAGAAAGACAATACAAAATTTCATCACTGTGAATCCAGTTTGGAAATCTTCTGCACTCAGCCATCATAAACAACAAAATTATGATTTTCAACATCAATGTTAAGTCAGATAGTGCTTCTATATGGGTCAGAAACTTGGCCTGCGCTTCACGAAATGGATTTTCAATAGTCAGGTTCTGATTTTTATCCACTGTTATCTTCGCTTCATACTCAAAATCCGATGACCGACCAGAAAGAATTAGCAACAAGACACTCGGGGAACAAATCAGTCAAGAACCTATCGGAGAAAATGGAGATGTGACGGACACACATTTAAGAGACCGTCAGGTGACATCGCGCGTCAGGCTCTCAGGTAGAACCCGAGTGGCAAACGATGAATTGAGCATCTGTTGGGAAACATAGATATCGTGTGAGACAACCATGGGGCTAGCTGAAGGCGACTGCAGGGAACAGGGTGAAATGGAGATGTGCTGTTGAAGCTCAGTGTTCCACTCAAGACCCAAGGGAATAATAATAATACTAATGATAAAGCAAATCACTGAAAGAAACAAATATTATGAATATTATATTTTGGCAAAGATGAAATCGTTTTAAATGTGTGTGTATAATTATCATTTCCACAGGATATAATTAAGTCAGTCATATAGTTTCAAAGGGATTACACCATTTTATAACGCCAGCAATTAAGTGTAATTTTTATAGTTATATCATAATTATAAAAATGAGACACTTTGGCGTAGGTTTGCTTTTCCAGAACCATCCAAAACTGTTGCTATAAGGTAGCTCTTGAGGTATGTCTTCAATTTTGTGTGACATTATGTTAGATGTCACACAAAATCGAAGACTTACAAGCGAAAACCGACAAACTAGTCGAAGAAGCAGACAGTGAAGACAGGAGTCCAGGTGAACATAGACAAGACGGAGGTTATGAAAATAACCAACCAACCAACAACAATGACAGCAGGAACATCTAGCGCCAATGATCATCAACGTGAGGGATTTGAAAGAGGTTACTTCATTCACTCACTTTTCTAGGGAGCATTGTGTCAACTACAGGCAATCGGAACGGACGAGGATGTCAAATCGAGCGAGAATCGGGAAGGCGAGGGAGAAACACATTCATCAACCTGAAACCAATCTGGAAATCTTCGTCACTCAGCCAGAATCAATAACAAAATTCGGTCGGATTTTCAATACAAACAACGTCAAGTCAGTCAGTCAGTCAGTTCTTCTATAGGGATCAGAAACTTGGCGCTTGGCGGATCACAAAGAATATTTCCAACAGCCTGTTGCAGACCTTTATCAACCAACAACTGTCTTCGCTGGATCTATACTGAAGATCAATCAGATGGCCGGGCCGGAAAGAATCACCAACAAGAAACTATGGAAGGAACAAAGAAAACAAGAACAAACCAATCGCCAATCAACAAATGTGCAGGAGAAAGTGGAGACGGATGGATTGGACACTCGCTCGCTGAGGAGGCCGCTGGGTGACATCGCGCTCGTGTCAGTCCATTGCTCGAGTGGAACGAGGCCGAAAGGAAAGCGGCGAGTGTGTCGTCAGTGCAAGGGTGACATGGAGGAGATGGTGTGAAGAGGAGTTGGTTGAAAGAGTATGGACTACGATGGATACAGGTGAAGAGTACAGCAGAAGGAAGACAGAAGCAAGTGGAGACGTGCAATTGAAGCCCTATGTTCCACTAGGAACCCAAGGCGCCATAATAATAATAATAATGAGGTATGTCGCCGGAATACAACTACACTTGTTGTCTTTGTAGAATGGACCTAATTACTGCTTCGTTTCAAATCTTAGGAAGATATTTATTTAAAGGAGATGATTCACTAGTCGTGTCAATCCTTATTGCTATAAAACTGAAGATATAACGGCGAAGAAACCTTTTCTTTTGATGACGCATTAAAAAACCCCAACTATACAATGAGTGGTCTTTACTGATAACATTCAGTGAAGAATTCATAAGACAAATGATATATTGATAGCTTTGTGTTCTACAAAAAATGTTTGAAGAATAAACTAGAAAGCAATATACAGGTGGGGAATTTAAAAAACGGAATTTGTTATTACGTAATGGGTGTAAAAATGACCTTATCACCGGTCAAGTTTCCATAGGATTTCTATTTGAAAACTGCGAAGTTTTTAATAAACGACAATAATAATAATAAACTGAATTGGCAGAAGTTGGAATCCATAGGCCATTGGATCGGGTCCCAGTAGCTGCTTAATGGTCTACGACCTAGCTGGCCTTGTAACCAGAATTTCCTGGCTTCGAACCCTGTCGGTGGGTGCCTACTGATGAAGAGTCCCAAACTAGGCCGATGAAACAGCTGTTCAGTACTCCCAGGTTTTCCGATGGTTTCTCTAACCAATGTCAGCTCATGATGAAATCCTGTAATCATCAAATTGGAGCTTGTCGGTTGATTATTCCTAAATACGTAAAAAAACGATGAGTGTAGCAATTAACTACTTAGCGTAACAATTGTGTGAGTATCGAGTTAGAAATATGTCGGTTTCGTTTTGTCCATTGGCTTTGTTGTAATACTCAAAGGCTGCTGTGTAGGGATCTGATTTGTTTTTCAAATCTGATCATGGGTTGAAATCAGTGAGGAATCCACTAAAAACCAGAAGGGAGTATTTGGCAGCTATTTCGTCCTAGTTTGGGTCTTACCGGCAGTAGTACGCACCCACTGGGTTTCTAACTTCGGGACCTTCCACTTGTAATACTTTTCTCTCTCTCTCTCTCTCATCCTGTGGTTATATTATGTGTGAACAGGGACGTCAATTAGTCTCTTCAAGTCATTGGCTTAAACAGTTGACTTCTGCAGCCTGTATGTCCCGAGTTCGAACCCCGCTCCACCTAATTCAGTGTGGGCAACTGGATATACTAGCTTCAGCCTTCACATCAGTTTTTTAAAGTTAATTGAATTCAATATCATAATATTAGCAATAAAATCTGTTCTACTCTTCATTTTGATTCCCTCCTTTTTTCTTTGTGTTTCTGTATACTTTAGTAAGCGTTTTTTTGTTTTACGAAATTATTTATTCATGAATACTCCCCATCCAGACATTGATGGAAACAAATCACGCAGTTCAGCGAAGAGGCTCTTTTTGGAAAATTCATTCTCCTCTTTAGCTGTACAATCGAATTTATATACAATTTTCTTCTTTTAAATGAGGGCAGTAACAAAAAGAGTAATGAGTTGCTACAATCATAATTGTTAACATTAGTCAATGCATAAGAGGAGTTGAGTTGGTTTATTAGAGTTACGTGATAAGATGAATAATTTAATGAATGCGTTGTAATCAGGATGCACATAGAAACGAAGGAAAATATGAAGTTACGTAAGAGTTCTAAGGAAAATACAATAGTTATAAGCAGTTAGAAAAACAAGCAGACTGAATGGCTAAAACTTCAGCAATGCGAAGGAGACGAAAGCCGATTGCATTTTTCAGGTTGTTCTTCACTTCGTGGATTACTTTGAAGTGGGTGTTTGTTGGGATGAAATGGTCAGTGTGGACAAGGGGTTTCAACTATCTCAATCCTTACAGAGCCACTTCTGCCTTTCTACAACCATGTGGGATAGTGTTCTTGAACCCTTTTAGACAGGATACTTATTGAACGAACAATGTATCTGGCTCCACGAGAATAGATGAACTGATATGTAGACATAGAATGGGTTAGATGCGACGTATTGTCCTTAAGGCTTCTACAAATCAATAGATGACTGGAGAACACTACTCTTAGCGTTGTTTTGAAGAATGTTCTTCTCAATGAAGATGAAATTCTTCTCTTAAGAATATAGCAGGTTAAGTCTCCCTTGGACACCAGATTCATTTAAAGTCTCTCATGTTAACTCCAACTGTATATACAAATTTACATGTATCTGCGGGAGCAGTTACATTGGAAGGACAGAAATAAGGGCACATCTACGATTTTCTGAACATGTACCAAAAAGCTTATGTCTAAAGGCAACAAATGCTTTAAACAGTGCCATCGCCATACATCTCCTTGACACGGGTCATGAGGTGGACGTCGCAAAGTCATTCAAAATTATCAATGGGCAAAAGAGCTCAATTCTCGTCAAGTTTGCTGAAGTCATTTCCATCAAGCGCCTGAGACCTGATTTATGCGTCCAGAAATCCCTGACAAAGGAGAAATTGTGTGACGTTTTTCCCAGAAAATCCTGAGGAGTTTATCTGTAATCTGTCGAGTCTGAAGTTAAATCTCATTGAAATGGAAGCACTTTCTCTTTGATTTTACTTTTACATCCCAAATAAGTTTGTCGAAAGAACTGGTGTCGCATTTCAGTTCGAAAACTTATTCTATCAGATGAGTGACCTTACTTCACTTGATGATGACAAGAGGAGCTGGTTCAAATCTAAGCTCGTCGACGTTGGAAATCGTTACCTCATTTCTCCAATGTCACATTCCAAGGTCTTTTCTGAAGAGCTTCAAAAAGCATTGAAAGCTCTCAAGAATAATGACAAAATTGTTATATTGCGACCTGAAAAAGGCTCAGGAGTGGTGGACAAAGAGGACTACATCGCAAAGGTGAAAGCTGTGTTAAATGACCCGTTTAGGATTAAAGTTGACAATTGCCAGAAGGATAAGACAGATGCAGCCGAAAAACGTATCACAAACGCACTGAGAGACCTTCTAAAGAAGAAATTGATTGACAGCAATACGTACAATGATTTGAAACCCCCAGGGTCCCTCTTGCCACACATGTATGGCCTTCCGAAGATACACAAAAAACAAGTCCCCCTGTGACCTATACTTTCTATGATCAACTCGCCCCAACATAAGGTGACACGTTGGCTTGCTGAGAAGTTGGAACCTATTCGTTAATGGCTAGCCGTGCACACTATGAAAGACTCATTTCATTTCTCTGAAAGTGTGAACCACATGAATGTTTTAAATAAGTTCATGGTCTCATTTGATTTAACCTCCTTGTTCACAATGATTCAAATCAACGAAACTATTGAGATTATTTGTCAGCAGTCTGATCTTCTTATTTAAAACGTTCATGTGGTTCACACTTTCAGAGAAATGAAATGAGTCTTTCATAGCGTGCATGGCTAGCTGTTGACGAATAGGTTCCAACTTCTCCGCAAGTCAACGTGCCACCCTATGTTGGGGCGAGCTGATCATCGAAGGTATAGGTCTCAAGGGGACTGCCAATTGCCTCCAACTATCTAGTATCATCAAATCAGTGTGCACCGTGATGACGAGCTACCTAGAATGCTGGCCACATTGCAAAACCTGACTGATAGAATTCACTCTCCGCCAAAGAAAGGACTAGACACGTCATACTAGTTACTAGTCTCCAATCAAAAAAACAACTAATGTTTTGTGTCTCTGAACTTTTGGTTTGATACTCTTGTTTTAAACATTAATCAGTTTGCTTCATTTTCTTTTTTTGTGGTTTAATTTTTAGTATAAAGCTATGATATGGAGTCAAAAATCATTGTTATTGAAAGGCAATCTACATGCTAATATTGGTGAAGTAAGTTATATGTAGACTTTGTGTATTTTGACTTAGTTGTGTTCTTTTGAGCTGGTTGGTTTAACTGTGAACGTTTCTTTGTCCTGTGTAGACAACATCTTCAGCGCAAGCTTTAAATATGAAGTCAACTTATTTGAATTCTCTATAAACGATATGGTCGTATCTCTTGACAACCATTGTTGTGACTAGTTGTCAATTTACGTCCCTATTGCTCACTTTTATTCACTTGGTACTTGAACTTTCTTGTCGTGTGATTTATTTTTAATCAGTTGGTAAATCTGATATATACTAATGTGTTTATTGATCGCTGGCTGATTTACTTGAGTACCAGGCTTCTAGAAATTCCCTAACAATTTGGGTTTTTATTCTGTTCAAAATTTCTACATTCTTCCAATCAAATTGGTGTTTTTAACTGTCTGCATGCATCACAGTTAAATCATGTTTTTCGATTCTGATTCTAAGGGGATGTTCACTTTGACCAATATAGTGTTTATCACAGTTCATGCAATTTATTTTGTAAATGGTGTTGATCTTATCTTCTTTTTCTGTTGGATGGATCTTTCGGTTTGCACAATATCGAATGAAGTGATTGTGCTGGCTACCTTGTGTGCTACGTCTGTCTATTTTAAATAGTTTTAATGTTTTAGCCGTTATTTCATAGATATTCTTTATATGCACTAGGATAGACCTTCGCGTGGTTTTTTAACGACGATTTCTTGTTGGTATTTGGAGAGTTGAGTTTAGACATATTTTTAATGAAATTGTATAGGTATTCATTCTTCTTGGACACAGTTAGTAGATATTTCTCTTCTAATCACCGAAAATACCCAGTGAGTCATGAAGAAAATAAAAGGAAAAATCAGCGAAGAAAATTTTATTTGTCGATGAAATTATCTCCAGAAACTTTACAGTCGTATTTATATTTATTCAAAAATGTATAGTAGTCCATTATTTAGTAATAGGCGGTTTGTGTGTGACATAATTGATATAATTACTCAGAATAGGCGTTAGAAGTAAAAATTAAAGTTGTAAATTACGTGGTACTCAACGGCACAAAGGAAGAAAGCGTTAGAAATTTGATAAGGTTAAAAGGTAGTTGAGTGTCAGTTTAACAAGTCTGAAGAGGGAACGTATGAGAGTGATAATAGTGAACTAACTATTAAAGTAAATTTGAAAATTAAAAAAATCTAAAATTTTCTACAGGGGACTCTTAGTGAAAGAGGTTAAGACCGTGGTAGAACAAGAAACTAGACTAACTTTTTCTCTATACAGAATTTGGGGTTGTATTGACGAATTGCCAGCGCCTCCACCATACACAAACGCCAAAACTTTGACGCCCTTTGTACCATTTGGCCTTACCTTGTAGAAGATCTTCAAAGACAACTGTGGTGGATCTACGTGGCTTGAGTTCACCAGGTGCTCGAGAACTAAGCTACTTACTAAATCTCTTGCATTGTCCTTTTGTTGACCATACCGGATAATGTTCAAAGATGCGTTCGGAAAGTGTGCACTTTGTGCGGCCAATATAACTAACTTATTTATTTTTTTAATTTTTGACTACAGCTTGATTCCACACTGTATTTTTGGTACAAGTATGGAATTTTCAGCATGGATATCGGTAGCCTAAATTTTGCAGGCCGACCAAAGATATCAGGTGTGCGTCGGGAGGTGATCGAACCTCGGACCATGTGCATGGTTGGCAAGAGTCCTAACCACCGTGCCACCGACGCACACACACGCACACGAGCAGATGAATTTATAAACACACATCGAAGTGGCTCGGAGTGCTACAATGTGTTTGAACTTTTTTAAACAATTATAAATTAAATAAATTAATCCCAGTGTGTTTAAAGAAATCAAAACAAGATTTTTCTGAACGTTTCGCTGTGTTAGCCACAGCTTCTTCAGCAGATTTATTCGGGTAAACCTGCATTCCCCAATGATTGATAGTGTTCTCACTGGGGCTCGAACCCGGTACTCATTACTCCAAACTCCAAAGCGTTATCCACTTTATCACTTAGGCTATGAGAGCCATCTTCTTATGCAGTGGGCATCAGTTATCATTTAATTCAATTCGGACTTTCCTGTTGAGGTATCTCTCGTGGCCTAAGTGGATAACGCCTTGGAGTTTGGAATGATTGATACTGAGTTTGAGCCTCAGTGGGAACACCGTCACCCACTGGGGAATGCAGTTACACCTAGATGACGAGTCTGGAATAGGACGAAATGAGCACACTGGATCCTACCATTGGTAGTCACCATCCACGAAATCTACCCAAATCGCTTGAAAAACAATCCAACTTCGAAACCTCAGTGAACGCCTACCAGTGTATTACTGATATGAATTATGGAATTAGTGTCTGTTTGGTTTACAAGACGAATACTAAAATATTCTAGGGCCATGATCATCCCCCATAAACGATCTGGTACGGCCTAGAATGGGTAGATTTTGGTCTTCTTCTCGAAATGCTCTCATGGGGCCACTCCTGTACAGTCTTTACCAGGCAGTTCCCATTCACATCCTTCAGGCATCGCGGGGGGAGTGGTGTTCCCCACAAAAGTGAAATGCCAAATGCGAATGTTTGGCCCATACAACCGGACTGGTGGGCAAGTTGATTTACCATGAAAAACTGGAAAACCCTGATTCCAAAATTATGGTGTACATTGGCTCCAGAATCCGAAAGGACCAAGTGGTGCCATCTAAATTTATTAGAGGGATTAATTGTGTTATGAAATTTAATTATTTATGTTTCCTCATGCTTTTCTGCGAAATTTGCAGTTAAACTATTCAGCTTAGATTGTATCTCAATCACAAAAACATTCATTTGTGCAAAAAGTATTCTCAATTATTTCGAAGTCACTTATCCAGATCACGAGTCACTCTATTCTTATATTTATTTTTAATCTAATTATAAGTAACAGATAAATTTAAGGTAGATTAGCGTAAGCTGTCAGCAGATTAGGATATTCTTCAAGTGTTAGCGTTTAGAGATCTGATTCGTACCCGTTAAAGAACCTTTGACAACCAAGAAGTACTGGACAGCTGTTTTGTCCTTGTTCAGACTTAAAACCAATCAAATCTCTACAAAAAATACACTGGCTGACTACTGGAGTAAGTTACCTGGGGATCTAGCGGGAAATAGTGACCAGCGGGGATGAGGACAAATGCTTGACGACGATGATATTAGCTGGTGATGGCGCTAAATATCACGAATCCATAGGCCGTTGGATCTAATCTCAGTGACTGTGAATGGTCAACGAGTTCACCTCATAACCTGAAGGTCTTAAGTTCGATCTTCAGTGGAGTCATATGGGTATGTAATGATGAAGAGTTCAGCTGTAACAAACTATATTCATCACCATACTTATAAAGGTTAAATTGTTTTCTCTGCATAATGCCTTCTTTTATTTCTAATTTTTTAGGTAACAGTTTTTATTTTTCCTGAACTTTTGGTTGTAACAACAAGTATACGACCTGAAGAACAAAATAATAATAATAATGATCGATCAACATCACATTTCTTCTATAGTGGTTCTCCACGTCAGACTAGAAATTCCAGTACTACTTCTATTCTTAATAACTCTCCATTTGGAAGTATCGCCCCACTGCCGCTACCACAGCTGCCGCCGCCACCACCACCACTCTATCAAGTATCCTGTGCTCAGCCTAGATTTGGACATCATCGATGGTCTTTACTTCCATCGTTAAAATCACATCTTCCGCCTGATTTAGATAATGTTCACTCTGCACCAATCAGTTCATCTAGTCAACCGTCAAAATTTACACGACTCTTTAGACGTTTGTCATCTATTATTGCATCGTCATCATCATCATCACTATCACCACCGAGGCCTCTGTCTACAGTGGTACAACCAGAAATCATTAAAAATATAACAGCGACAAGATTATCAAATTTTTTCATTTCAGAAGATGATACAGTATGCCTTGAACGTTATCGTATCTGTTATCCACCTTTAATATTAAAAGATTATATTTTAGAAGATATGAGCGATGATGATAATCGATCGAGTATATTGAAGTTACCTTTCTCTTTTGAGAAATCTCGTAAGTTTCTTTTTTTATATATGGGTATATTTTACAGAGAAAATAATATAATATATGCCTTTTTTAATTACCACCTCACTTATTATGCCTTCAGTACAGTTTCCTTTGGAAGCCAACATCAGAATGATGCGCATTTCGTCCTATCTGGGACTTGTCACCTGGATGTGCCTGCATTCGGCAGTAAGTGAAGATGTTCCCACCAAGGCTGAAGCCCAGTGCCAATAGTTTCGAGAGGTAGCTCTCGTGCAACAAGTGGTCTAGTGGATAACGCTTTGGCGTTTGAGACTATGGGCATTGAACTTAAGCGTCGGTGAGGACATCTTCACTCACTGCGGAATGCAGGTATATCCAGGTGATGAGTCGTAGATAGGACGAAATACGCATTGTGGATTCCACTGCTAGTCACCATTCACCAATTAAACTTCTTATTACATGCCCAGGCATTTTCGAAGAATCTGCTCAAGAAGCCGATAGACATGACAACCTGAGACCGAGCACTTCGGTGCAGTCAGTCGATGGGAAAATCTAAAATTGAATTCAATTATTCTGTTGCAACATTACATCACTTAAGCTAATCCACTATTTTTTCCTAATTACTCACTCATTAAAAATGTATGTTTAGAAGAGTTTCTTAAGAGGTATAAATTCAATGAACGAAATATTCCCATATTGAGTCATAAAAAAAAGACATAAACAGAGGAGATAACTTTCTTTTTGACAGACGATTCATTTTCATAGGCTGCTGTACAATCCCGATTATATTTGAAAGAAGAGAACACGAAGAGTTCAGCAAAGATATATTTCTTTTCGGTGATTTCATTTTCAAAAGCAACTGCACAATCGCATTTAAATACATAATTTTACATAGATACATACAATTTTTTATTTATTATACTTTATTCCACATAATTACGAAGGCGAATAAAAGGTGATAATTATTTTCAACTAGATATGGTTTACAAGAGGCTTAGAAATAAAATCTACACGGAATTATAGCGAATTACAGGTGTATAGAAAATGAGCATAGAAACAGATTGAAATAATAATTTTCAACTTGAGATGGAAGTTAGGAGGTGCGAATATAGATTACAAGAGCCCTAGAAACACAAAAATTGCACAGGCTCGGGATATTTATTTTATTTATTTATCTTTTATTTTTGATTGCAGCTTGATTTCACACTGTATTTTTGGTACAAGTATGGAATTTTCAACATGGATATCGGTAGCCTAAATTTTGCAGGCCGACCAAAGATATCAGGTGTGCGTCGGGAGGTGATCGAACCTCGGACCATGTGCATGGTTGGCGAGAGTCCTAACCACTGTAGTTGGCCGAGAGATCGGTTAGCTGTTGTGCACATTGTTAACTTAGACAAGCAATAGTTGTGGTGACCGTATCTGTCAGTAGCTTAGCATCCCTGTTTCAACCCAACGTTATTTTAAACGAATTATAAATGTGAGCAGGAAAAGCATGGAAACACACTTAAAATAACTGTTCTTATAATTGAAAAAAATAGGATGAATTGAATGAAGATAGAGGGAATAAGAATTACACACACACACAGCGAACGAAAAAAAGACCCAAAAAAGGATAAAAAAACGGAGGCTAAGGGAACATATTGAACTAGGTCCATGGTAGTTGGTTGTAGAGGTTGGACTAATTTCTTTTGAACATACAGCTCCGGCTTTTCGATGCATATTGCGAGGGCTTCTGCAGTGCAGAGAAGTCGAAAACATACTGCGTTTGTTAGGTTTCTGTTGACTTTGTAAATTTTGATGTGGTTTTGTAAATTACTTTGAATGAATCAGTTGAAAAGTTGTTGGAGGGGTTGGTCAAATGTTCAATTATCGCACTTCTGAATGAACCGATGCCTTCTATTTGCAGCCACGCTGGGTAATGTTCTTTGATACGCTTTTTGAAAGGACGCGCATACAACGACCTATGTACCTAGCTCCTCACGAGCAGGTGAACTGGTATGTGTATATTTAGCAAAGAAACCATAAGACCAATCAGATACTGGCAAAATTGTTTCCTCAGAAAACGTGTTACGTAATGTAAGGTGTGACTTAGAAGGGGTTTTTAATTGGAAGTTAGAAAAGAGACAGAAGTGTTGGCATGATGTAATAAGTGTAAGTTAATGACTAATGGATAAGATTGTGTAAATGAACAGGAACTAGTGGAAAGACGATAAAATGTTCGTATAAAATCTGTACGAAAACTCAATGTTATTAATGAAAACAGTAATAAGTGACATTAAAATATGGATGATGAGAATAATAATGATAATATAGTAATAGTAAACTTACGTGATAAAATATAAGTAGAATTATAGTAAAAGCGTTACTGTGGCCATGGTAGGGTGAGCGAATGTGTGTAGTGCTTTGCAATGTGGAAGTCCAGTTTCAGATCCCGAGTAGTCAATGATTCAGCTATGTACAGATGACTTATGCGAAGTCCTTTTGTACGATATTAAGGGACTCTGTGTAGCACTGTGAAGCATTCATGCAGGGCTGCTAGGTGTCCGGAGTTGACAAGGTGTCCGAGGATAGAGCTGCTGCTATTCTCTTTTCTCTTCTTGCTGGCTAACCAAACTGGACAGTGTTCCAGAATATGTTTGTGGACTTGACGTTGCGTCCGGCCGATATACTTTGCTTCACATGAGCAAGTAAACTGATAAATGCACACTGAGGTGGACAAAAGCGGTATCTTATCCTTAACGTTAGACTGGATTAAATGTCTGCCGGAGAATGTAATACGTAAGGTGGCTGCTTGAAATTACCTTTGAATTCCAGCTTCAATAAAGAGAGTTTCTTAGGAACAGTTGTGATTTTTGGCAACGGAGTCTTTTCTCTCATGTTTTTGTCTATGAATTTAGGTGGTTACTTATTCTCTAGTAGGGTTTCACGTAATAAATTTAATTTTTTCTCTAAGCTAATGTACGTAGTAGGGTTTTCTTCGGATCAAATATGTCAGTGTTAATAATCCATGGAAAAGTTCTTCATGCTATTTCAGTTTAAAAGTATTACATTGTTATTATTTCTTTCTAAATAGTACAATAATGATACATACTACTGTTCAGTGGATGTGAAGTTTAGTTTTATACGCCTAGATTTTATATACAGGTTGGATAGTGACTTAGAACAACACATAGGATTCAGGGAATGTCAGAAGTGGTAAATCAATCAAGTTAAATCATGAGTACTGCTCATCTGTTACTCTGCCAATTTGCTCCCTATCTAGTTTCCGGTTAATGTGTGTAAATAAGAGTGTAAATGGATGTGCCGTCTGTGGCGGTGGAATGTCAGTTAAACAGTATAACCATACGATCGATAGATATGCTTGCACATGCGGTTACTTACACTGGGAGCAAGTCTGTTTGAGATGGTACTTCGAAACTATGGCTATCGAATATATTTTTTAATTTCTTATACACAACTGGGTATTGTAGAGTCTTGTTAAGTCTGCCTGCAGCTACTGCACGGAGAATAGCTCTGTGTCAACAGAAGATTGGTTAGATTAGCACTTCAGAGACTTCTTGATGCCATTCTTACACAAAACGCAGGGAAATACTATCCGGAATAGAATAGGAATTAGCAACATGAAACTTTGGGAACGAACCAACCCTAACAACCTATTACTGAACAAATATGCCGAAACGAGATGGAGGTGGATTGGGCACACGCTTAGGAGACTGTCGAATGATATTCCATCATCGAGTGGAACCGGAATGTGGAATAACGAGTGGTATCTCCATGGGTGAAATAAAGGAAATGAGAGACTATCGCCAATTGTGGAGGCAGGTGAAGAAGATAGCAGAGAATAGGGTGAAGTGGAGATGTGCTGTTGAACCTTTATGTTCCACTCAACAGAGTTGATTAACAAATTTACCACCGTATGTACTAACGGTATATTACATAAGCTAACAGTCTAGCGTGCAGTCGGTATTCATATATTGTGTATTGACCTCTTCTCTTCTTTTTCTTTTATTCCAGGACGTAATTTATTCAGATTATATCCATATAATGAATATTGCAAACGACGATCTGTAAAACACGTGATAAAAGGAATAAATTCCCTACATTCATCACATCAACGTCATTTATCTATTGTAAATTGTCAAACAAAACGATCTACAACTTGGTCATCTTCACCATTAAAGACTGGCACAACAACAGCAACTACCACTACTGATTCTGTTACTAAGAAAGCTACTATACTCTTCTCAGCAAAATATGTTAAAGTCAAACCAAAAGAGTACTTGTTTCAAGCATCTAGTTTAGAGGATAAATTATTTTGGATATCTACGCTATCACCACTTGTTCATAGTGTTTTAAAAACGAATCATGCAAATAACACATGTCACTTATGATGATTAATTGTGTTTGTGAATGATCTCTTTACTAACTTTCTTTTCTGTTCACCTTACAGGCTAATTAAGTAAGTAAGTAAGTATTCCTTACAAGTAGTCATAAGTTGGTTTCTCTTACACATTTGAGAGTCTTCTGTGATGTGTCCTCGACTTCCTTCTTTTCAACAGTATCGTCATCATCATCGGCATCGACATCATCTTCTGTCTTCTACCTTAAAGGCAATGCAGAGTGGAGACTAGCAAATGTTGTCTTATCTGATATATGTGTACATGTATGTATGTATTATACGATAGATTTTACTTTTTTTTTGTTATTTTTACTGTCTACTTCTATATACTACTTATTACATACTACTTACATACTTAAAATGATGTGTGGACAACGAAATACAAGTGCAGTTTGTTTAATAACTAACTAGTTAAATTATGAACTAACTAACTATGTCTATCTTCGCGCATGTTATGTATTACTGTCAGTGTTGTTTTACTTTTTGGAGTCATTCAATCAATGAAGGGTATTCATTCATTCACGCATTCATTACAGTAATAATTATTCAATTAATTAGTATTTTATTTTTTGGTTTTCTTCTTTATTTCCTTTTGTTTTGTTTTTTGTAATTATATCTAATTTAATCATCACTAGTCTTTCATGTATATGTATGATTTTTGAAGAGTCATATCATAGTAAATAATGTGTTGATTGGTAGTCATTATAATGACGGAATGAGAGAGTACACACTACTTCTAATAAGTAGTATATTATATTATTACTCTATGTGATTATGATTATTTATTGACACTCTTGTTTACTTGTATTTATTTCTTTACCAATGAGAATAGTGTTAAATCAAGGTATGATGTCAGATCTGTAGTTAATCAGATCAGAATTACATAATCTTCTATCTGGAATGTCATATCTATGTTTTTTGTCGAAATGAAAAAGGCGTCAAATATACAAGATTAAAATTCTGACTAGTATTCAGTCATTGTGATATCTCTGTTTTAAATGTTGTTAATAATAATGACAAGAATAACTACTATTAAATAGTAATATAATTAGTATTCTCTCGCCCACCCTACCCCGCCTTAATTCCACTTTGTATCGGGGTGGGGTGTGTGTGTGTGTGTGCTAAGGGAGATTTTTTATTCTGACACATAATGCATTTGCTTTACTCCTTCTTTCCATCTCTTCTGTCCGTCTTTTATTCCGGCCTTTTTTTGGCTTTCAGTGTGTTATTTTCTAATTCTTATGCTGTGACTTTGAAATTCCCATATTGGATATTATGCTAATTGGCATAAATCAACATTCATTGCCTGATAGGCAGTCTGCATTTGTTTCCCCTTTGTATGTGTGTGTTTGTGTGTGTGTGTGTGTGTGTGGTGCCGTGTACAAAGTTAGAGAGCTGTAGTCGTATTTTCACTACTTATTATATAGATTATAATTGCTATTATTATTATTATTATTATTGGTATTCTTCGTAGTCTTTATTTCAAAGAAAAAGAGGATAATTTTTAACAATTTTTCTCGTTTTTCTTCTCCTCCAGGGGCGAATTTCCATCACTGATTGTTTTTCTTTCAGAAATTTCTTCTTCTTTAGTCTTAGTTTACATCTATTGTTTGCATTTCCTGAAATACCTTCACTTTATCTGTTCACTTTCCCGTCCTTCTTCTCTCCTCCTTCTTTTTTGTTGTCATCGGTTGATTATTTGTCAAGAGTTCAGAATAAATGCGTGTCATGTATGCATTACTGTTAGTATGGTTTTGGTTTTTGAACAAATATATTTGTATTTTATTCCTTTTATTCTTTTAAGTTATTGAATGGTGTGTATAAGTGTGCATGTGTGTGTGTGTGCCCAAGAGTGAGTTTAGTAGTGTGTAGTAAACGCTATTTTTAGAAAAATTAAAACAAAATAATCATTTTTCAAGTTCGATTACGGATTGATATCACACCAAAGTGTACTGAACAGCTTTTTCTTCTAGTTTGCGGCTTTCCAGTAGTAACTGGGGTTCAAACTCAAGGCCTTACGAAGTTACATGACGAGCTGGTATACCATTTAGCCACTGGGACCCGACTCAATGGCCCATGAATTCCACCTTCTACCATTGCCCTCCAAGTCGGGAATGAGGACAAATACTCATCAATGATATTAGCTGGTGGTCGCTCCAGAATCACAAATTGGTAGAAGTTAGAATTCATTGACCATTAGATATTGTCCATTTGTGACTGAATGGTCTAGGAGCTTAGCTTGTAACCAAAAGGTCCTGGGTTCAAACCTTGGTTTATACGTACCGATGAAGAGTCTAAACTAGGAGGGAACAGCTGTTCAGTACTCCCTGGTTTTCCAACTGAAGTCAGCTGGTGATTAAACTTGAAACAATTCACATCCTCATAAATCAACTCTTGAAAACAATCATTTTTGACTTCTAGATTGATTATGAATTGGTTTTAGTTAAAGAACTGTTGAAATCAAGGAGTACTGGACAGCTGTCTCGTCTTTGTCTGGAACTCTTTATCAGTGCATGCCTATGCTTTTGTCACCAGTAATCGAATCCAGGACATTCTGGTTACAAGGTGAGCGTGTTGACTTTTTAGCGACTGGGAGGGAACCAAATCGTCCATCAGTCCAAGGTTACGCCAAAACAGGTATCCAGTAACCTCTGGTTTTCCAGTGGTTCTCTTACCGAAGCCATTCGCTGATCAAACTTGAAATCAATCAAATCCCAGCAAATCAATACTTGGCTTAAACCTTCGATTATCAACGACAGGGTCATGGGTTTGAACCTACTGAGGTTTGGATAGCCAGATAATATAATTACCCCCCACCATCCAACACATACAATAGGCGTGGTGACTCATTGCCAACTTCATGAAAATTCGGGTTGTTTTTGAGTTACATTTTCGTTTGACTCCGATTCATGTTATTTTTTTATTCCTTTAAGTTCCTAGTGGAACATATGGCTTCAAGCTCGAGCTTTGAAGTTGCATTAGCAGTGGTATTTTTTTTGCGGGATGGGGTTGGTGCTGGCCTCATGCCCAACCTTCCCTCTTTACCCGTCTTATTACTGGTTTAGTGAGGTGAAAGAGTGCGTCGGTGGTCGGGCCACCTGAGGCGTGGTCGGCGAGCATTCTACCGCTGTGCCACCGACAATTTATGTTATCGTACTCAGTAATTAACATATCGAGTTAAATTCTAAAACACGCTGGAATGTAAATGCTTAATCAGTGAATAATTCTCAAAAAAATATTGATTACCAATAAAAATTATGAATGAAATTATTTACGAGGATGTGAGTACAAGTAAGACTTGTAATAAGGAAGAAGTTACTGTTATTCGCCATTTGTGTTAAAAAAACTTGGCGGTAATTAGCTGAACTTTACCTACCTACCATACAATGTATGAAAATTAAATGAGAATGTTCTTCCATCTAGTCATTCAAACATGTTATTGATCTATTGGTAAATTTAAATTACCACCCAGAATGGAATAAATGTATTACTTAATATTAAGTGATCAGTTTGTTCACACTAGCTGGTCACTTAAAGGATCATTTGTGTCTAGGACAGCATAGTGGTAAAGCCGCTGACTCTAGCACTGAGTTAGACAATTACGCAAAATACCTTATTTTGTTAGAACTGTTAGTATGCTTTGCTAACTGACATCCAATCCAAAGGGAAGTAAACTTTCTGGCTGACCAGTGGATTTATAGAATAATTTTTGTTCATTTTTTTCATTAGAAGGTCAAGGGGATCAGTGTGTAAACTCATTGATGCCTTGTCATCAGTTGTCTTTACCTGCTCAACACTTAGTCAACTTTTAATACATCCGAACATATTTATTTTGAGCGTAAAGCTCAGAACCATCTTTCGGGATAGGTGTTTTATCCGACAGCCTATAATTTCAAGGAAGCGTACTTTACCTCGGCAGTGGCGGGTTATTCAACATCCCTCAACTTTAACATGACGCTCCAGAGCCGGAAAAGGCATATATTTTACCTTCTCGAGAAACTAGGGCCTGTCAGTGACTGACAGTGTCCTGGGCAGTTCATAATACCCTCATCCACGACTTTTACTTATATTTCAAGGGCTGTGGATTTCGGCTAACGACAGTCCCTAATTCCACCAGTATTCATGACACCAATCATAGCTACATGTTACTTCCACTATCGTAGCAGGACTGGAACCCGCCGCCGCAATTGTTATTTGCTTCGATAATACCCGGTCGCACAAATGGTTCATAATAAGGATTAACGCATGTTGTAGCGGTTAGTCATGATTACTCCCGCCCTTTACCCGCGCTTGGTTGAATTTCTTCGCTTTGACATTCAGAGCACTGGGCAGAAATCACATTGCGTCATAACCGGTCAGCGGACATTGCAGTGCTTTGTTTTAATTAGACAGTCGGATTCCCCTGGTCCGTGCCGGTTCTGAGTTAACCGCTGCGCGCCAGTCAATGGAAGCACAGCCGCTTGACGCAACTCAGAGAAAGTTCACGTGCGTTGCTAGCCAGCTATACAACACTAATAGTTGAAACCGCTCACTATTGATCGAGGTCAGAGTCCGGTAACTCCACTCTTATATTTTGCCATTCATCCCATGTTTTCAGAGTAGTATATACGGCTTCAGTACACATCTCCACTGTACACGGTTCTCAACCCCTGACAAGCTTTCGTTTCTGCTTTACACAGTCTCTTCCACTTCATCCTCGGATATTCAACTTGTCGCATCTCATTCCAGTCCTGCTTCTCAGTATTTGTCTTCATTACTTTCTGCATATTTGTCAGGAAATTGGCTGTTTTTTTTGCTGTTGTTGTTACTGTTTTGTTGTCGCAGTTCTCTGCTGCTTCTTTAACCTTCAGCTCATCCACTTAATCTTCAGTATTGCATGAAGATAGGTGTCGATGAAAGTCTACTAGTGGCCTTTTGAGAATGCTTTCTGCTGATGCCGCTTGTTCTCTGAATCATATAAGAGCTTGGCTCATGCTAGGTCTCGGTTTCAACATTTTATGTGTGATAAAATTTTTTAAACTCTATTTTTTTGTAGCCAACTTCAATATCTAGTTAAATTGCTAATAAACACAGATTTCTGTCCTACGTAGCTTTCCACTAACCTGTTAATGAAAGGAAGCATGAGGATACACTACGCGTAATCATCACACTCTTTTGATCGGACATACCTACACCTACACATACACACACACACACTGAAACGTAATTTTAATAGGGCGATAATTTGTATTTTCACCTCACTGTTTAACTATTCACGCCTATATACTATCTCTGAGTTCTACTCGCTTTTTTGTTGTTTTATCACATTGAAAGGTGATTATAGGCAACCTGATAGCAGATTATTATTGTTACTACTAATACTACTACTATCGGGTTCTCATGAAAGGTGATAAACAGCTTTCGGAAATTATTATTGTTTTAATCACTGTAACACAGGAAGTGTGTATGTGTGTGTGTGTGTGTGGGTGTTTATGTTTCTGTGCGATGGAAATATTTTTTTGTGTACCTATGCGTTTTGTTCTTTTTCAATACTCTTGTAAATTATTTCTCTGGTAAAATTTTGTAATTTGATATGAGCTATTTATGCATAGTATGCAAGTTACAGTGTGATGAAAGGATTAAAAGAAGTGATAATTTTTTATTTACATTTGACTTTTTGTGCTTAATTTTCAATAGTTGGTTTGTAAGGATTCGATTTGTTTTTACGAGTTGATCACGAATTGATGTCGGTCAGAGAAACATTGAAAACTAGCACTGGAGTACTGGACAACCAGTACTGTTTCACCCCATTTTGGGACTCTTCATCAGTACGCAACCACCACCAGCCTTCGAACCGAGGACCTCCGGTTACTAGGCAAGCTGGCTCGTATGCCATTCAGCCACTGGCTCATGAGTTATAACTTCTATCAATTCGTGACTTAACGCGACCACGAACCATTGTCATCGGTTGGACATCCATCCTAATACGTGACATCTGAATGGACCACACTGATCAGGACTTCTCACTAAAACTCCAGGAAACTCCATCATTTAGCAAGCGTTTAATTTTTTTTTGAGGTTAGGACACTCGCCGACCATGCACACGGTCCGGGTTTAATTCCCGACCGACGCACACCTAATATCAATGGTCAACCTGCTAAATTTGGGCTACCGATATCATATGCTGTTAATTCCATACTTGTATTTTACAATACTGTGTGGAACTAAGCTATAATAAAAATTAAAAATCGAAGTAAATTAAATATAGATGATTTTTCAGTTTTCCAATGACATTCACGGGAAAAATATATGTACAAATGCGCCACACAAAATCTCATAGTTTGTGCGAAGGCTGGGATACTACCCGGGCGCCGAGATTGAAGCAGGTGGTTTTCTTAAGAGACCACACCCCTTCTGAGTTTTTGACTTGAAGTTTGATCCACAAGGCAGTGGAACAAAATAAGTTCCTAAGATATTTGATCCTTTCGGATTCTGGAGCCGATGTACATCAGGGGTTTAGAATCAGCGTTTTCTGGCTCCTCTGGTAAGACCTGCATGTCGATTAGTCCGGTTGTAAGTGCCAAATGTTCTCATCTTCCCTTTCACTTTTGTGAAGATATTTTGTTAATATTTTTTTCATGAAGGCATACATGTGCCTCAGAAGTGAAGTTTCTTCAGAGACTTATATCCCGAGCAGTAGAAAAAGGGACACCAGTCGTTTTAAGTAATCGAGTGAATTCTGGAAAACTTAATGAGTTAGTCGAACTAGAAAAGTCGTTACGATCTTATCTTCTATAATAGTATTTCACTACACTTAATTCTGACTTTAATTGCCTGTACTGTTTGTAAATCGGTTATTCTATCAATCTTTTTGTTAAGGCATAACGTCACAAAGTTTCACCATTTTAAAACATCGTTAAAAATCTTTGTTCTTGATTATTTCATTTTATGACTATTTAGAGGATTCATAAAACGTATCGAAACACTTAAGTATAACATGTATTGATGCGTTTTCAAGAGTTAGTTTGTAGGGACTTCAATTGCTTCAAGTTTAATGACAAGCTAACATCATTTAGAAAAAAAACGGAGAGTATTTGATAGCTGTTTCGTCCTTGGGTTCCCTGAGACTCTTCAGTGATACACACCCACTGGGGTTCAAATCTAGGACCTTCTGGTTTTAAACCAAGCTCATGGATAATTTAACCACTGAGATCCGATCGAATGGCCCATTAATTCTTACTTCTACGGGTTAGTGATTTTAGCGCAACCGCCAGACAGTGTCATCGGCGATCCCATTACCTGTTGGTTGATGGTCGTGCTGAAATCATGAACCAGTAGAAGTTAGAATTCATTGGCGGTTGGAACAGTTGAATAATCTATTAGCTTTCTTTGTAACCGAGAGGTACTGGGTTTCAACCCCAGTGAATGCGTACCTTTGAAGAGTCCCAAACTAGGACGAAACAGCCTTTCGGTACTGTCTGGTTCTCCAATCGTTCCCTAACTGATGTCAGCTCATGATCAAACTTGTAAAGGGAGAATATTCAAGAAAATGTTTTCTATATGCACTGATAATTAATTTTTTGTAATAATTGGTAATAATAATAATATTAAAATCACTTTATTACAAACAATAAGGATTATACAGATTGGTATTTTCAGCTCTCGTAGATACTGCTATAATTTAGCTCCTTTTATGAACATATATATATATATATATATATGTGTATATACATAAAATAGTAAGTATAATAAAACCACAAAAACTGAAAGTTAGTGGACTGTAATGAATAGTAAGAAAAGTAATGTGATAAATAACAAACATAATGATGATCCTGTTTATTTACTGATTTAAAAAGTAGGTTTATAAGCTCTTCTCTGACAATTGTCCCTGCACAAAACACGTGCGGTTATAATATGATATGGTTGAGCTTTTATGTGTAGCTGTACGAGCATAAATTCTCACGAAATTTCTTCTGCTTTTACCCCTGGAGAGATACAAGGAGAAAGTTATGCATAAAGAGGATATTCATTATTAGACAAGATGACTTTAGCTAACTGTTAGCAGGAATTAAAATGACTAACAACAACAGTGTCAGTTAGGTGATTTAAAGACACATGCCACTAAACCTACTGACAGCCTTTAATGTTGTATGTTGTGTGACATAGTCTTTCTTGAGAAATCCAGGGAAGAATAAAGTGCTTAGGGGCGGGAGATAATAAAGAATAACGAACAGAATTGGAGTGAAAATCTGGGTGCAGACCTGCTGCCTCCTTATTACTACTTCAACATTCTATATCAGTCATCAGCTACGAGACCCAAACTGCTAAGCAATTCATCATGGATGATATCCAGTTGTCTTGTACACACACACACACACTGAGGAGACCGTTGAGTGACATCGCTCACCAGGCCATTGCTTTAGTGGGACCCGATTAGGAAACAACTAGTGCAGCCTGGGTCCGAGGGTAAAATAGAAGAGATCGTGTGAAGAGGAGACGAAAGCTTATGGGAAATCTTGAAGCCAGCCTGGAAACGACAGCAAACAACAGGATGAGAGGGAGATTGTTTGCTGTTCAATCCTTGTGTTCGACTCAAAATCCAAGCAATTAATAATAAGGTCCCCAGTTAACCATGAGAATAAATTATTCGTTACTTACCGTTCATCATCGCAATAAGTCTTCTATCAGTCTTAATCATGCAGAATTAGATATAATAGGAACAAGTTGTTGGCTGATAATGAGACTATCAGAGGATAATCTTCAGTTGGTAAATTGGATAGGGGATGATGGAACGTGAAATGAGAATTTAGGTCGTAGCAGGATTCAACCAGCGATCTCAGAATTACTAATCCAGCAATCTACAGGCTGATGTGCAATGATGGTGGAATAGATTTTATAAAATTTCCATTTTTTTGCCTGCTAATGTTTAATCTTTGAAAACTAATCTTCTCTTTTGTAAATAATATTTAGACTCTAATCATATGAGTGTTTTTGTACTCCAGTGAATATTTGTGCTTCCGTTTTGAAAAGCTTGACAGTTAGTTGAATTTTTTTGCTTTACTGACGTTGACATTCAGTATACGTTTGATAGATATCTCTTAAAATGAAAAAAAAACAAACAAACAACATTATTGCGCGTTTTGAGCCTCTGTTTTTCTCAGTGAACAAATTTTAGTCGAGGTAAAATTATGTTAGTCTGGTAAGATTTAAATACATCAACAAACTTATGATGTCATCGCTTGTGTTGGTGTAAGCTACATCTGTAGGTTTAGATTACCTTCGAGAGAATCACTACTAATTATTCGTTCTTAATTCTTTTTTGATTTTCTCGTTGATTGTTTGGACCGAAATATTCCATCTCTGTTTACATATCGTCTCCTAGTATGGACGCTTCGACAGTGTCTGAGGATTAACTTCGAGAAGTGTGGTGGATGATGGCTGGCGGTGGAATCCAGGATACACGCTTCATCCTATTTGACTCTTGTGACCCAAATGGTGTAGTGGATAACCCTTTGGCGTTTGGAACGACAGGCTGTGGGCTTGAGTCACACCTGGGACACCAACAGTCACTGGAGATGCAAGTATATCCGACTGATGAATCCCAAACAGGGCGAAATGAATTTCGTGGACTCATTTTAAGAATCGCTACTTCTCACTAAGCTGTTCTTCCTGCCAAACACGTTTGTTATTAAATTTTCACTCCCTTTTTTATACACTTTCTCCACAGTGTGACAACTTGAAATAATAAAAATGGTTGATGTTGATTCGTCAGTCAGTCGATCACTGAAATGTGTCTACTAATTGATATGCGTGCGTCGGTGGCACCATCGGTAAAGTGCTCGCCTACCACGCAGGTGGTTCGGGGTTCAATCCTCGGCTGACGCACCCCTTTACCTTACTAAACCAGTAATAAGACTGGTAAAGAGGGAAGGTTGAGCATGAGGCTAGCAACCCATTGTGTAAAAATAGCCACCACTGCTACAGAAACTTCAAGCCTCTATAGCCTGGAGCTCTATGTTCTACTGGGAACATAAACGCATAAAAAAGACTGATATGCTGTGTGTGTATGTGTGAGGACTATGGATGAATGATCTATCCTATGAAGTTTGAAATGGTGAAATACTAATTCTGGACTAGTAAGGACACTTATCTTCACAATTCAAATAGGTAAGGCAATTTTTAGAGAAACTCAAGATATTTTCTCTGTCTTTAAAAATGGTGAATTTATAGACCGGTTGAAATAATGGGGAAGAATTGTATCTTGGGTGGGAATTTCTTAGTGGGATAGTGTTATCTCATAGCTTAATACACTCAATTGTCAAATTATGACTTTCTTTTCAGGCAGTATCCTTAACGCTTACTTCAAATGTAAAGCATGTATATGTGAGTTCACACTTAAGAAAGTACTAAGGTGCTGTCTAAAAAGGGAAAAAGGAAAGCTTGACATTTTTATATAAACCACTAAGCTCAGATGACACAGTCTTATCAGATATATAAAACGGGTCAGTTCAAGATCCTGTGTTTATTTGAAAGCTTCAACTTGTCTCTTCAACACTAATGAAATCAATGTTTCATTTTTTTTCCTTCTTTTTTCTTCTGTTTCTTTTTATATTCAGATAAAAGAAGGCTTGTGATTTTACCTTTTTTATGTAAAAATATTAATGAATGCTTTCTGATCCTGGATTCCGTGAACTGATTTCGCTACCTTTAAGTCCAACTGTATTGAATGGACTTACACGAGCTGGATTTAATTGTATATCAGAAATTGTTGGACTAAGTGTTGATCGTATAGTATCTAGTAAGTTTGTTTGTTTATTACTTCTCTGTTCTTCTGAATGTAAATTTACTCATTTTAATTAACGTTTTGCGTAATGTGTTATTTAGATAGAGCAATAAGAAGACGTGATTTGTGTGAATCGTGTGTGTAATGTATTTGTGCAACACATTTTGAAGAGTCTGATCACACACGGACTTGTCACAGGAATATATATATATATATATATATATATATATATATATATATATATGGAATTAATAAAGAGGTAAGAGGTGAGAAAATAGACTTAGATCAAGTTAGAAGGATATATATTCAAGGTCAAAATAACAATGAAGACCATTAAACCAAATAGCAGAGGTAATAGTACATCTACTCTGACTGGTATAAAAACAAATTTTACCAAGGAAGGTTTAGTGTGATGACGAAATGTTTTTGAACTTTCTAGTTACTAGGGTTTCCCCAACCTTGAGGATACGCCCCAAACACGTTTTATAGATAGGTTTAAAAGATCTGTTAGCGTCAATTTTATTTCCTGTCTCTATAATATGTTCTCACCATTAATGGGTTCTAAAGATTCCATTTGTTTCTGAAGCCAATTAGGAATATGTTCTGAAGCCCTTACTTGTAGAGATCGATGAGTTCTCCCTTTGTAAATGTGTCCACACGTACATTCAAATGGGTAAATACAGTGTGATGTGACATCATTTTTCGCATGCTCGAAGGGATTAGATAGATATATTGGCTTCGCATTCTCAATTATTGTGATATTAGCTGCAAAAAAAGTCTTTTTAACAGCAGCGTCCAATCTTTGTCTAGTTATCAAGCTGCTTTGATGTCCCATACAGGGTAGCTTGATGTACACGTCCTTCATGGGGGTGAGTTGTAGAATGGGTCTTGGTGTTCTGACTACTTTATATCTCCTGATGAACTTGTCTGGATAATTGTTATCAACCAGAGTTTGTGTCAACTTTCTTTCTTCTTCATCAAGTGTGTCTTCAGTGCATATTCCTTGGATTCTACTGAAGAGGCACCTTACTAAGGCTCTTTTGTACCGAACAGGACAGAAAGTGTGGTAATTAAAATAGTGTTCTGTCCAGGTAGGTTTTCTATAAATAGATCTTTTTATTGACTCGTCAAGGCATCGAGTAAACAATATGTCTAGGAAAGATAAAGAATTATCTTCCTCGTCTACAGATGTAAGTAATATGGTATTCTGAACTTCATTCATTCGTTCTAAAACTGAGGTGGCAAAACAAGACTTATCACTGATGATTACAAAATCCCCTACATACCTTGTATAAAGTGGTACATTTTCGATTAAATCTTCCGATAAATTCTCAATGTACGACGTATAGATATCTGTTAAAAGGAGCCCTAACGGACTTCCCATAGCAACACTATTTGAAGGCGATTGTTTCCGCAAAGTTGCATCACATTTATCTTTATTCAAATAAGATGGTTAAAAGTGGTGTATAGTTGATTAGAGCGTGAAAAGCAGTTTGATCCTTAGAAGAGAAATGAGTATACACCGAACAAACTACTGGAATGATGGGTACAGTGTAGAATACAGTGTAGGGACAGAGATAACATGACGTATGGAAGTTATGGATTGTAGGGAAGTACAAATCTTAGGCATATTCTTAATTCCTGAATTGATTAGTAAATTAGCATTTGCACAACTCAATGACTTGAAACTTCACTACAGTTTCCTAATGGTTGGTGTGTGAGTGATATTCAACTACTCACTTCAATCAGTCAGTAGTATATAGTTTTACGCATTCATGCTCGCTTTCTCGATAATCCCTTATGATATCAAGCAGATCACACACATATTGTGATCCCAATAATTTTGATTTCACCACCTGGAGCTGTGGTGAAATTTCAGCTTCTTTAACTGTGTAAATGTGTAAATACAATTTACTGATTAATTTTGAGATTACAACTTTGATTTGGGATTTTACCAGTTCTCCGAAGTAGGTCGTCAGAAATTGGGTAGTTTTAAGTGATTTGGCTCTCTTGGCATAGTCAAACTGAACACACAGCTGATCAGTTTGTCCCGAAATAAGTGAAACAGATGTCTGGTGTTTAGATCACTTCGATCTGGTGATCAACCCCCACTGGTTGATATGAGTGGTATACAAGTTGCAGTCCCAATCACACAGTAGTGTATAGTTTTACTCATTGACGACCTATACAATTATTTTGAAATCACTCGAAGAATTCGACAACTGATCCAGTGCAGTCAAATGTCCAGTATCTAAAACGCAGTGTACATATGAGTTTCGAGAGTGTTACGGTGAAAAGCTAACTCATAAATATGTCTATTATTAATGTCAGTTCTTGTAGGGATTTACAATCTCTCTGGTGGATACTCCTGAAATACGACGTATCATCAGTTGAAAAGTTTCAATCATTTGACTTAAAATATATCATAATGCATCAGAGTGGAGACACAGCTAAACTCTCACAAGCATTCCACTCTCATCTAATAGGTCTTAGGTTCAGCTTACGCAACTGGATAGTATCATCAACTCTCATACACTTACACGCAGTAAGTGTAGCTCATAACCTCTGGCACATGAGAAATTCTGTTCTGAGTAGCTGAGTTCCAGCTAGCTAGTGGATCAAATGTTGTTTTTCTTCAAAAACTTTCAGTACCATAGAAGAACTTGATATATATATATATATATATATATATATATATATATATATATGACATTCAAGTTAATTTAGCATTTCCTGTTTACTGTGCTTCCTGAACGACCTTGACGCGTTCATTGATTGTATTAGACCTAAATTATTCCGTTTTTGTCTACATGTCGCCTTCTTATGCGGATGCCTTGACGATGTTTGAGGATTCACATGTTATTATTTTTCTTGATGTTAACGAGCATTGGAATTCAGGATTCTCATTTCGCCCTGTTTTGAACTCTTCAGTTGAATGTACCTGCAATCCTTAGTGAATGGAGGTGTTTCCAGTGAGATTCGAAACTGCAGTGTCCGGTGTTTTAAAATCCACAACAGGTGGTTTTTGTTCTAGTTCAAGTTGTCAAGTGAATGACACTCTGACTTTTTTAAAATGATGCCTTCTGGGTTCGAGTGTCACTGAGGATTGCAGGTTATAATTTAGCTTACGAGTCTCAAATAAGACGAAAGGTGACCCCATTCCATAAATGCATATATATATATATATATATATATATATATATATATATATATATATATATATGACTAATAAACTATGATTTATGTCATCACTTAAAGTATGCATCCTTCGAAAGCCATTTTGTCCTACTATAAGTCTTTTTTTGTGGAAATATACGCCTAACTGTGGTTATCTCATAAAAGTAGTAAAGTAGGCTGGATATACAGACAATAGTAACTTTTAAGTAGACAATCATGCTTCACACTCAATCTTGTCATACTTACAATAAGCTAGACAGCTCTTTCCTCCACTTGTCCACTAGAAGAAAGAAAGAAAGAAAGCATCTCACTTAGACATGAATGAATTCAAAGTTTAGCATTTATCCATTGAAATGGCTTTCTTTTTTAGTGCATTCCAGTTAAACTGTCTTTTTTTCCCCCACTTTTTCTTTCACTCATTTATCACTTTTCTACTTTTATTAATCTTTGAAAATCATAAAATTGTCAACCCGTCCAATATTGTCCATACCACAATCAAACACAGAGAGAAAGAGAGAGTGTGTGTGTGTTCTGTTGTCTAATCTTTCGAAAATAGCTTCAAACTATGCTGATATAATTGATTATTTCAATATGTTTAAAAACCAACGTTACACATAAATAAATGTTCATTCATTTTTGTTGTATTCTTTCTTGTCTTACTTTTTATCCACTTACTACATCAGTGAATCTATTGATTTACTGGTTGATTCAACGATTACTGGAATTCTATAAAACGTTGTGTATGTGAGTAGTGGTAGTAGTAGTAGTAGTAGTAGTATTAGTTCCCCTTCTTTTTTTGTAATCTATTTATATTTCATTAAAGCGTTAATATTAGAGAAAGCATGTGTCAATAGTCAGGAGTTTTAAGATGAAAAATAGTTGAATTTAGGATTACTAGTATTATTATCATGAGAATATTGATAGCTGATACAATAGATAGGTTAGAAGTTGTGCTTAGGACGTACACATCAATTGGATGTAAAGGCTCACTATCTTTCATCACAGATGTTTGTGTGTGCCATCTACTGGTTTTCAGTGGGGTATAATATTGAGGTTAGTCGCAGAGGGCTCGGCCATTGAGAGTGGAAGACATGAAAAGCCTGGCTAAGTGTCTTTGATCATAGGTGCCTGCGTTCTATCCCCCGTGTGAAATAGTATAATAGGGGGAGTAATATTAAAGTTAGGCTTTGTTCGAGTGCTAGGTAGGTTGGAGGGGGAATCAGTAGACGAAGCTGTGAAGTTACATCGACTGAGATGGTTAGGATATGTGTGACGCATGGCTGCCTAGCTATCACCTTCCTCGACAACAGGCAATGTTAGCTGACATACGATCAAGTTGGAAAAGAGCCGGCCAGTGGTGGTCAAACCAAATGATGGCTTCATCAGTCAATGAAATTCACAACAGTTAGTTTAAGCAAGTCAGCCACGTAGGAAGGTGTGTACTTCCTGGTTGGGATCCTCGGGACAGTAAAAGCCAATGAAGGCTGTAGACAATTGGTGATATGACTGAAAATCGTTCTCAATGGCTGGCGCAGATGCATCCACTCCTTGTGACTTATGATTTCCAATGAAACTATATTGTTCTTTGTTGTTACTATTCTTTTTGTCTCATATCCCTGTTTACTGTCTCTATTTTGCATTTCTTTCACTTTCTTGTCTTGCTCTGTGTGCTACATAAAGTGTGGCGACTTGAACCGCTGCGCATCGGTGCAAAGTTCTATGTTGAAACCAGTCAGTTAGTCAGTCAACAGAGTGCTCGGTAAGGATCAGAAATCAATCGATAGGATTGTGAAGCTGCATGCTGAACTATCGCCTTTCTCAACGGTAATTGTTGTCTAAAACAGGAGTGGATTTAAAAAGAGTTAGGAGTGGTAAAATCGAAATCTGATATCAATCCATAACGTCTTTGACTTTTGACTTTTTAGTAATGTAGACTGCCTGGTTGTGATTCTTGAGCCAATAAGAACGAATGACTTGGAACTGTTAGTAATATGGCTCGAAATCGCTGTTACTTTTTGTCCCGCACATTTATGCGTTTTGTAGTTCTTCTGAGTATTTTTCTCTTTTTTGTATATTTGTGGGCTATATGGAGTGTGGCAACTTGAACCGGTACATTTCTATGCAAGGTTCTACGTCGAAACATAATCAGTTAAGAGGCATGTGAATCCCAGGTGGTTGTTGGAATTGAGAGTGGCACAGGAAACTCATTTTTTTCCTTCGGCTAATGAAGCTGATGAGGCCCCCTGTCTTTCATGATGATCTCTTCATATTATTTGTATTTATATTTTTATTTGTGGTAGCTGATAACTCATTTGGTTACGATCTTCAAATTTTTTCTCTAGACATTTCTTTGTCAGTACGAATCTTTATCAACAAATAGCTATAAAAAGACTGATTAGTGAACAAGGAATATCCTTTTCGATAACCTCATCAGGTTCTACAGTTATATACTTATAATAATGAAGAATTAGGGTTATCAACAAGATTGATGTTTGAATAACATTAAATCACTTTGATTGGGATAATGTCGAGATTTTAAACAGGGGAAACATCGAAAGTGCCAGGGAATTCCTCGAAGCCTGGTACTCAAACGAATATGCGATCAACAAACATGTTAATATAGTTCAAATCTACCAACTAATAAAAAGTAAACCATCTGACGAGAAAGTTTAAAATCCAAGTCAATAGAAAATGAGCAATACGTACATAAAGATGGTTACTGGGAGACGCAGTTATATCACTCTTGAAAAATTTAAATCAGTTCACTTTATGCTAAAAATTGCGCTGAAGATGTTGCCCAGAAGGATGACGAAAGCTCTGCAACTAAACCAACCAGCTCAGAGAACACTATTTATTGCAAATCATTCACCTGAGCTACAAATCTTCTCTATTATTAAATCAATTATATCAATGGATCACAGTTCAATAGCATCTGTAAGCGCGATAATAGGCATCAACATAATATTACACTGGATATCACACAAATTAGGAAAAATAATAATAATGCTAGTTTTGTGGCCGATTTGAACCACATGGTCTAATATCGAGCTGTTGATGCTTCTAACTACAGATTTATTTAACCACGCTGGTAGATGTTCCTGAGCGAGCACGAAAAGTCCGGTTCTGGGATTAACGGCCAATATAACTTACTCCACAAGCGCACTTGAATTAGTAGATACAATTAGAGGTGGTTAGTTTAGGTACTTCATCTTTCAATTGAGAAATCACCACCGGTAGTGTAGAAAATAAGACTTGTAGTCTGTCAGCATTAAAAGTTTTTTTTAACTGATTTGCTCAACTTGTCAGTAATTATTTCACTTGGTACATCACCCTTGAACTGCAGTCGTATATATTATTATTATTTAGTTTGGCTTTGAATTCTTGTAGCCTTTTTCATATTATCGTCAAAGCATGAAGAAGAAAATTCGCAACATGAAATGTGCACATTTTATTTATAAGGTTTCTTTTCAACTGCATTTTGTTCCTTTGCATTCTGAATAAAACATAAGGCTTTGATCTTTGAAATTCTAGCAGCAATGGTGTTATTTTACTGGGCGGGGTTGCTAGCCTTATTCTTAGTCTTTCTATTTTATCGGGGCTTAATACGGATTGAGCAAGGTTTAGGGTTGTGTCAGTTGGAGATTGAACCCCGGACCACTTTTGCTGTGATTAGCTAGGATTCTACCGTTGAACCATGGACTCACTCTTCAACTGCAGACACCCCAAAGTATATGTATAATGAGCGAAATAAGAAGATACACCTTTGAAATTGTACTCAACACAATTTCGTCACTGAGAGAACACAATCTGACCGACTAAGTTTCAACATGGAAATTTGCACAGAAGTTCGGCAGGGAAAGTTAAACTATCATAGCCAAAACCACAGTGTCCTGGAATAACCAATCAGAATTCAGATGCAAGTGAAGTCGCATAATCGTTTAAAAATACACTAGAGAATATTGCAAACTTGATGGTACACTGTATAATTGTAGCTTATCTGTTGGAATAATGTCTTCCAGTCAATACACACATGATCTACAGAGAGGTCTTACCATACGCGACATACCCATTCCTCCAGCTGACCGCAGTGCATAGTACTTTGAGATTGATATTTCTGACACTATTCTTCAACCTACTCTTAACTCTAATCATAATTCTAACTTATAATCTTAACTTTAACCCTAAACCTTAACCTTAAAAGCCATAACCCTACGTAATAGTGCAGATTTTCAGAAAAAATACCTAGTAAATAAGCAAAATACTGTATTTATCCCCTACAAGTCCAAAAAGATGGGCGTGCTTTGATTTAGAATGAAACTTCATAGCATCCCCTGTGTCTGATCGGTTCTTATAGGTCAACTTTTGAAAGACCTTGACTTCGGCTATGATATTTTAACTTCACCTTTCAGCATTTCAAGTTGTCACTCACACTCCATGTAACACAGAATTGTAGACAAAAGGGTGACAATAGGGGGAATTCGAAACAGCTGCAGTGAACAGAAATGTACACGAGAAAGTATATTATTTTGTTATTATTGTTTCCTTTAGTTCCTAGAAAAACATAGGGCTTCAGCCGCACATCTCCATTGGCTTCGGTCCTCTGTCGACGATTTCATCTGGCTCCACGCCTGCCCAACTGCTTTCATCTTCTCTTCATATGACCTCCTCCATGTCACCCCACCTTCAGACTGATACGCCAGAGATGGTGTAAGTCAGCGAAAGCAGCTCGAGCTTTTCGGATCCGTGCTGAGATTTCATCGCCAATCAGTCCGTTGGTGCTAATACAACTTCCCAATAGGTGAAGTGGTCAACATGTTCTATCACTTCACTCCCTATCACTAAGTTAGGGTTGACGTGGTCCAGTCCTGTAGCAGCATCTTACATTTTGCAGGGGCGAATCGCATGCCAAACATACGAAGATTGCTGCTCAAGGTGTTCAGAAGACTCTGCATTTTGTCAGCATCCTCCCCTAACAGGACTATGTCATCTGCATATTCTAAGTCCATAGATTATTCCCTGGTAACAAGTCGATTCCTAAGTCACTACGTTCAGTTAAGGATACTTCCATTAGCATATCTATGATGAAGTTAAACAGAAATGGGGAAAGTGGACATCCCTGTCGGACACCACTGGTTGTTACCAATTCAGATGACAATTCCCCATAAGCCCTTACACGACTACGTGAGTTTGAATAGAGTGCCTTGATTAGTGCAATGTACTTTCTTGGCACTCCCTTCACAGTCAGACATTGCCATAGTACCTTTCGATCCACGGAGTCGAAGGCCGCCTTCAAGTCAAGAAATATGACAATTGTTGGACGCCGAAAAGTGTGTCTATGTTCTAGAATCTGTCGAAGAGTGAAGATATGATCTATGCACCCTCTACCTGGTCTAAAGCCTGCTTGATTTTCCCTTGTCTGTTCCTCCCGAGTTCTGCTTAGTCTATGCATGATTACTGAGCCTAGGATTTTAGAGACTATGTTCGTTAGGCTGATCCCCCTATGATTATCACACGAGGACTTGTTTCCCTTCTTGAATATCGGTATATAGTGACTTACCCCACTACCAACTCTCCGCTTCCCGTTTGGGTTCCACTCGAGCGATGGCCTGGCGTGAGATGTCACTCACTGGATTGCTTGTTTTCCCAGAGTATGACCAATCCACCTCCGTTTCTTCCTGCATATTTGTTGATGTTGGGTTGGTTCGCTCATTGCCAGAGATCCCTGTTGCTGGTCTTTTCTGGCCACCTGATCTTGAGTAGTATTAAGCGAAGGCAGCTGTTGATGAAGGTGTGTAGTTTGTTCGAAATGTCCTTCGTGACACAGCTCCAAGTCTCTGATCAGTGAAGTAGCACTGACTTCAGATTGGAGTTGAAAGTCCGGATCTTATTTTCATTTTCATGCTGAGTGCCGTTGATCTCCACACAGACTTGAGAGTAGTGAAAGCTTGATTTGGTTTCCCGATCCTAGCTTTGATATCCTCATCAGTTCCGTCCGCCTGTAGTTGAAATGATGCTTCCCAGGTAGGCGGGTAGGTAAAGGAAGTTTTTTCTTTCATATTTCCCCTATTTTTGCTGGCTGATTGTTGTCTGTTATTGTTGCTGTTGCTGTTGGCCAGGAATCTTCATCAGTTCTGTTTTCTCTATGTTCACCTGAAGCACTATCTACTCTGAATGCTTCTTCTGCCAAATTGTTGCTTTTCACTTGCATATCCTCCAGTTTGTGGGAGATCAGACATATATTATCATGGGCGAAGTCTAGATCCTCCAAGTTTCTGTGTGGGTCCATTTTATGTCTGTTTCCTCGCTGCCTGCCTCTGTCTGTTGCATTATCCGAGAAAGTATATTAAAATGGGAAAACTTTATGTTTCATTGGATCTGGGAAATTTTAAAGTGGAAATGCATCCTCACCAGTGAAAACAATTTTGACCCATATTATTGAAAGTTTCATGGCTTTGATCCTTAGCATCGTGAGGACTCCAATTAAATTATCTACACCTCCTTACGTGACTGCCTGAAACCAACTATCAATAATATTATGGACTGATCCCAGGTTTTTTTCTTGACCACTTGTAAATTTTTCCTATCTAATTCGGTGTCAGTTAACATTGCTCAGAGAGCACAACCACATCAGTTCTTCCTCTTTCTTTCAATATAGATATTTGTTTGTGACTGTTTCTTGAATCTCTCATACATTTTTTTTCTTTTCTTTCATTTCATTAAAAGTATGCGGAGTAAGCACAAAAGTTGCTCGTACTACAGTAGATATAATTCAGCGTTACAATCAATCATCCATTGAATGCACTGATATCAATAAGCTTGGAATATTTGGTTTGAATACAGCATGGGATTTACTTGATACTGCACAGACGACAACAACAACAACAACCAATGATAATGGTGATCTTATTGAAGATAAAAGAAATAAATGTAATTATCTAGTGAGTATGTGTCGAAGGTGAGTAATGCGTACTAGTTTACTTCCTGTACATATTGTATAATTAATGTAGCATAGTTTAGTTCTTATAATTCAGAAATAAAGACATTACTCAAAAAAAACCTTCGTAGATTAATATACACTTGGCGTTTACTACTATATATATTATTATTCCCTTGAATTCCGAGTGGAACATAGAGCTTCAGCAACACATCTTCACTTTCTTCTTTCTTATGCTGTCCTCTTCATCTGGGTTCACGATCTCACCCATAATCTCTCATCTCCTTCCCGCCATACGGTCTACTTCATGTTACCCTGTCACTGACGACCCACTCGTCGCTTCCCACTAGGATTCCATTCAAGCGATGGCCTGCATTGCACGTGATGTCATTCGACGAACTCCTCAACGGATACACAATCCATCCATCTCCATTTTCTCCTACATATTTGTTGAGCAATCGGCTCTTGCTTGTTGGTTTGTTCCCATAGTTTCTTGTTGCTGATTCTTTCTGGACGACCAGCCATTTCATCTTCAATATGGAGCCGGAGAAGTGGGCAGCTGTTGATAAATGTCTATAACATGTTGGAGATCCTTTTCGTGACTGACACCCAGTGTAAGTTTCTTACTCATATAGACGGAGCACTGACTAACTTCACATTTTTTTGTTCAAAAATCCGAATCTTGTTTTTTACGCTGAGGCGTAGTGCATAAGATTAACAAACTGATTTCAGCTTGATAAAGGCTTATCATGCTTGCCATTCCTATTCTGGTTGACTGACTGGCTTTGACGTCTTCACACGTGGTGACTGCCTGTGGTTGAAGCCGTGCTTTATGGACAGATAAGTGAAGGCAGGAAGTAACCTCAGTCAAATTTCTTCCATCGATGGTGATTGGCTTTTAATTAGAATTTATACTATATAAGATGAAGTCATCATTTTTTTTCGTTGGTTTTTCTTCATCTGGGTACACCCTAGAGGTTAACTATTGTAATATATTTTTTTTTTTATTTTATTTTTTATTTTTATTTTTTTGATTTACAGCTTGATTCCACACTGTATTTTTGTACAAGTATGGAATTTTCAGCATGGATATCAGTAGCCCAAATTTTGCAGGCCGACCATAGATATCAGGTGTGCGCCGGCGTGGGCTCGAACCCCGGACCATGTGCATGGTCGGCTAGAGTGCTAACCACTGTGCCACCGACGCATATATATATATATATATATATATATATATATATATATATATATATAGGGAAATTTTAGCGTACTTGCTGCAAGGGTTGCATGATTTATGGTTAACAGTGACACAAAACTTATGAACAATGCTTAAAACTTACACTTATTTAAATTATGCAAACGAAGCAAAGTTTAAACAAAATGCATACATACAAGATTAGTGGTCGGATATATTTAAAATCGAGTTGCATCACCAAGACAAAAGGTAAGGTTATCATGATGATGATGATGATGATACGCAAGTAATCAGTTGAATAATAGTATGGTAAGTTCAACTCACATCATAAAAACAAAACTGAAACAAACTGAATTACTTTAGATCAAACGTGGAGGGTAGATTATAGCAAAAGATCATATATTCAAAGAGGGGGAAAGAGGATTAGACGCTGGTGAACAAAAACTGATAAATGAATAAATCTCTCTGAACACATAAATGAGGTTTTAAATGCTTAATAGTGCTTGCTTCGGAAAATATGAGAAGAGTTGGGTTATGTTGTCGATTAATAATTTTAAAGGATTTCATGGTATTCACTCTATGATCATCCGCATCAACAAGATATCTGGCAATAGTATACTATTCAACACATTTGTTCCCTTAAGTCATTGACTTTCTCATATATATTCAGAGAGTCTAAGATAAGCCTTTCTTTGTGTTTTTCCAATGTTGGAAGGTTTCATCATGGGCTGACATCAGTTAGAGAACCATTGGAAAACATGTGAGTACTTTATAGCTGTTTCTTCCCAGTTTGGGATTTTTCGTCAGTACGCACCCATCGGGTTTCGAGCCCAGGACTTTCTGGTTACAAGGCGAGCTCGTAGACCATTGAGCCACTGGGACCCGATCTCAAGGCCAGCCCATGAATTCTAACTCCTGCCAATTCATGACATAGCGCGGCCACTTCGCAATGTCTTCTTCAATGAGTTACTGCTTCACCTTCAACCTGCTGTATCCTACTGGTCATGGCTTCACACTAGAGCCCCAGGTCACTGCCTGAACAGGGCCAGTCGCTATTGAGCATCAGATTGATTTTCAAGTATTGGTTTTGTAGGGGTTTTTGTTTGATTGATGGCAGGGTTTCATAATGAGCTGACATCTTCCAATGTAACTGCAACTTTGAGATACATGTAAATTTATGTACACATTTAGAGGTCATCTGGGAATCTTTGACTGTACCAAAGGGTGTGTTGTCGACTTGTTGATGACACTTTAGGGTATATTTTCCTGGCTCTGCAAAACAGAGTTTGGTCCAGTGCCTATTTACAGATGACTTGACAAGAGCTATTGAAATGTAAGTACAGTTCATTCTATGTGGATTTTCGTCGAATTAATCTTTGCAGACTTCCATCTCCCAAGCATTGTATGGCAATGTCAGGAAAATGGAACTTGCCATCAATTTTATGTGTCATACTAAATTGAATATTTACTTTGATTGGACGCTGATAACTAGTGTGATGCATTTAGTCCTTTGTTTGGTGCAGACTGAATTCTATCAGTCAGGTTTGCAATGTGGCCATCATTCTAGGTAGCTCACCATCACGATGCACTCTGATTTGATGATACTAGATGGTTGGAGGCGATCGACAGGAAGCCTTGCACCTAGATTTAAAAATTTAATTGCTCGTAATTGGTTAGTTGAATTAGGTGAGATACATAACTTTAATTATCACATATTACTAAGGTGTCATCAACATATCGGCAATGGGAAGTTGTTCCATGTAACCCTTGCAAGTTAGTGTGTTAAAATTCCTCTATACATATGCATAATAAACTTTTGTGTTTCATGCAGTTGAGGAGAAACCAACGAAATAAATGATCACCTCATAATATTCCTCGCAAACATTTGGTTTTTCCTTATTTAGATTGATGAAGGGGAGGGAATAAGTGTATGATGATGCTAGCTAATTCCGCAAACCTAGACAGGCAGAGTGGGAATTCGAATCCATCACATACCAGTGGTAGACTGATGAGTAGTGTTAGGTCAGTGAGTTTTAGTTCTGAAAGTCATTCAACTGTACATTCAGTATCATAACTGTGTCAAAGTTGAGTTCCATGTTCATTTATGTGTCTATCATTTTGTTTTAATTTAGTTTTGATGAGCTTCTTGGCGGTGGTTTTCCAACTAACCGATTGACTGAATTATGCGGTGAACCTGGAGTAGGAAAAACTCAATTCTGGTAAGTCTTGATTCCCGAATTTTTTTTCTTTCCTCATTTTTAACAGTACAAATAATAAATAACAAAGTTTTGTTTATTTCTGGTGTATATTTAACAGCGTGTTGTTTTGAACTTCATTTCGAGGATCCAATTTTTTGTGAACCAAGATATAAGCTATACATATTATGCAAGGGCTGATGATCTTAGTCAGATCATCAGGCTGAAGTAGATGGAGAGAAGCTCTAATGTAGGACCCAATGACTGAAACTCAAGTACTCAGACCACTTTATGACATGAATTCACTTACAGACACTGCAGTTTTTTGTTTTTTCCTTCACGTTCCCCAGTGGAACATAGGGCTTCAAGCTAGTGGCTTGAAGTTTCTTTAGCAGTGTTTATTTTACAGGATGGGGTTGCTAGCCTCATGCCCAACCTTTCCTCTTTACCAGCATTACTTCTGGCTTAGCGAGGTAAAGGAGTGCGTCGGCCGGGGATCGAACTCCGGACCATGTGAATGGTCGGCGAGCGTCCTAACCGCTATGCCACCGACGAACAAGTTTTACTTAGTCTAAAATTGTTCATCTGTCAAATCAATACAAAAAATTGTCTCGGAAAATGCATTAGAATAAAGCAAGAGCTACAATAGTTTGTGCAGAATAAAATGGTACCATCATTTATTTCATCGGTTCCTCATCAGCTGCTTACAGCCCAACGACATTATTAAGTTTATGTACAGAAACAGTTACACAGAGAGTTCATTTTTAAACTAAAAAATCAATATATATGTAAACAATAGAAATACTACTACTACTACTACTACTACTACTAATAATAATAATAATAATAATAATAATAATAATAATAATCGCCCTATCCCAAGAAATAATAATTATGCAGAATGGAATTTTCGGCGTTACATAATCCAGTTATCAGGTCAAGGAAAGACTGATAACCGGTTCTTTGTGAACACATATATGGGGTTTCAAGAGCTTGATGAAGATTGCTTCGGCAAAATTGAGGAGAATTGAACTCTTTCGCTTACGAGTAATTTTGAACGATCTGGCCACGCCCACCTCATGACTCGTGTCAAAAAATGCCTAGCAATGGCACTGTTAAAAGCATTTGTTTCCTTGAGATGTAGGCTGTACTGCAACAGTAGAAAACAAGAGCCATGGAACAGATCGCTTATTAACGAAATCAACACATATTTATAGATTTTCATGTATATTATTATAGATTATTGTTAGCAGAAAAACACAGTCTTCTGATTGGTTGCGTTTCTCACTGAAAGTTAACCTTGCATCTCTTTGTGGCTGTTTCTTGAATGTCAGATCATCTATCTGCAATCTGTATCCGCCTACGCAAAGTCTTTGTTCTCATTTATCCCACGACCAATATTGAGGACATAAACATTGAAGTAAATTACTGTCTACCAACTTTTGCTAACAGCCAGTTCCCACCACAGTACATAGACTTAATGATGTGTTTGGACTCGAAGCAGCCGATGAGAAGCCAACGAAATAAGCAAATGATGATATCATTTTATTCGGCACGAACTATGGTTCATGCTTTATTCAAATTCATAAAGTGGAGTAAATGTGTAAGGAAAGTGTATTAGTCATACTTTACAGGATATACATGTCCTTCCTTCTTAAACACATTACCGGTAGTTGCATCAAATCAATAAATACTTCTGTATCGATAGCTGTTTAGCTCTAATCTATAGTTATGTATATTACTCATATAGTTAACTAGTAGCCTTTATATTCTTTGCTGTGTTGTTTCATTTGTCAGTGTGACCGCTTCTAATCATTTTCTGTTTCACCATTTACTACTTAATAAAATAAAAGACATTCAGCAAAGAGTGATTGTTTCTAGCGACTCATTTTTACAAACTGTATAATCACATGCATTACATAATTTGGGTACTTTGAACTGATTCATTTCCTCAAGCTGAGTCGCTGATGATCTCGATCCCAAACGAGCTAAAAGACGTTTAAATCACTTCGATCTGCTTAGAAAACAATACTTAAATATCAGTGAGATGCTCACTGGCGACTGGCCCTATTCAGGTAGGCAGTTACCTGGGGTTCCAGCGGGAAGTCGTGACCAGTAGGGTGGAGTAGGTCGGGTGTGTAGACAATACTCATCACCGACGACATTGGCTAGTGGTCACGCTATATCGTGAATTAGCAGAAGTTAGAATTCATGGGCTGGCTGGCCATCGGATCAGGTCCCAGTGACTTAATGGTCTACGAGCAAGCTCGCCTTGTAACCAGAAGGTCCTGGGTTCGAACCCCTGTGGTGGGTGCGTACTGCTGAAGAGTCCCAAACTAGGCTGACGAAACAGCTGTCCAGTACTCCCAGCTGGTTTTCCAATGGTTCTCAGACCAATGTCAGCTCATGATGAAATCCTGTATCCAACCAACCAAATCCCTACAAACCAATACTTCAAAACATGTTTTATTCGTATCTTTTCTCAGGAGATTCTGACATATCCTGTCGATAAAATCAAAAAGTAGAATTTTATGGATCTACATGTGTTAACCACAGTCCATTAGATGTTCTAAAATAGAACTGAAAGTAGATTTTGTCTCTGCTTTACAGAACCAAAATGGTATATGCTTAATGATGCGTTTAGAAAGTTTGTCTGTCTGTATGTTTTCGACATAGAACTTTGCACCGATGTGCACCAGTTCAAGTCGCCACACTCCATCTAGCACACAAAGCAAGTGAAGAAAGTAGGAGAAATGCATAATAGAGACAGTAGACAGGGATGTGAGAGAAAGGAATAGCAATAATGAAGAACAATATAGTTTCATTGGAAATCATAAATCACAAGGAGTGGTTGCATCTGCACCAACCATTGAGAACGATTTTGAGCCATATCACCAATGGTATCCAGCCCCACTTGGTTATTACCATCTCGAGGACTCCAACCGGGAAGTGTACACTTTCCTACGTGACTGGCTTAAAAAGTAGCTGTTGTGGATTCCATTGACTGGTGCCATGTTTTGGTTTGACCGCCGCCAACTCTTTTCCAGCCTGACCCTATATCCGCTAACATTGCCCGTCGAGGAAGCCGATGGCTAAGCAGACATACGTAACACATGTCCTAACCATTTCAGTCTATGTAACTTCACAACCTCGTCGATTGATTTCTCCTGTTTACCTAGAACTCGATGCCTAACCTCAGTATTGCTCACCTTATTATACCACTTCACACGGGAAATAGAACGCAGGCACCTATGATCAAAGACAGCTAGCCTTTCCACGTCTTTCACTCTCAGTGGCCAGGTCTCACAGCCATAAATGAGGACGGAGCAGACTGCTGAGCAGTACACCCGCCCTTTGATCAATAACCAGCTAGAACTCACGTCTACGCCAGAGACAGCGTAAACTGGCATATGCGAAACTAGCCCTCTGTATCCATGCTGAGATTTCGTCAGCGATCAACCCGTTGGGGCTGATGCAGCTTCTCAAATAAATGAAGTGGTCAACGTGCTCTACCACTTCACTTCCTATTTTTAAACTAGGAGTCGCTGTAGTCCAGTCCTGTAACATACTATATTAGTCAAAATAGAGTAAATATTGGATACAGCTGACGTACGTTCTTGCTGTACAGGAGTAGGTGAACTCATAGTCACATATTGAAAGGAAGCCAGCAGAGGGTAGCCTTTCCTTTACTCATAATCAAATGATAACTTGTGTATGCTCTCATTGCTGATAAAATTTAAGCACATTATTTATTAATATCCTTGCTAACTAACTGTTATTATCCTATAAATCCTGAGCATTACATTAGATGACTGAAAACTTTCAATCTGTCTATCTGTCTGTCTGTCTGTCTGCCTGTCTGCCTGACAGATTTGAATGAATATATTTTGTTATCTGACATTGCCAATTTGCATTGCAAATAGGCATATCTCTCTCTCTCTCTCTCTCTGTCAACTCTACGTCTACGACTACTACTACTACTTTAGTCAAAAGATTTCCCTATGAAAAGAAGAATATCATCTTTCGAACAGATGATTGATGCCTACTGCATAACTCGAAACTGTTATATCTAGTGTTAAGCTAGACATAGTCTAAAAATTTGTATATCCGCTAACATTGCCCGTCGAGGAAGCCGATGGCTAAGCAGACATACGTAACACATGTCCTAACCATTTCAGTCTATGTAACTTCACAACCTCGTCGATTGATTTCTCCTGTTTACCTAGAACTCGATGCCTAACCTCAGTATTGCTCACCTTATTATACCACTTCACACGGGAAATAGAACGCAGGCACCTATGATCAAAGACAGCTAGCCTTTCCACGTCTTTCACTCTCAGTGGCCAGGTCTCACAGCCATAAATGAGGACGGAGCAGACTGCTGAGCAGTACACCCGCCCTTTGATCAATAACCAGCTAGAACTCACGTCTACGCCAGAGACAGCGTAAACTGGCATATGCGAAACTAGCCCTCTGTATCCATGCTGAGATTTCGTCAGCGATCAACCCGTTGGGGCTGATGCAGCTTCTCAAATAAATGAAGTGGTCAACGTGCTCTACCACTTCACTTCCTATTTTTAAACTAGGAGTCGCTGTAGTCCAGTCCTGTAACATCATCTTACATTTGGCGGGAACGAATCACATGCCGGTGTTCATTGCAGGTGTTCAGAAGACTCTGCATTTTGTCAGCGTCCTCGCCTAGAAGGACTATATCGTGTGCATATTCTAAGTCAACGAGATTATTTCCTGGTATCAAGTCAATGCCTGTATCTCTGAAGTGAGTTAGGGCTAAATGCGTTAGTACATCTATGATGAAATTGAATAGAAATGGGGATAATGGGCATCCCTGACGGACACCACTAGTCGTCACCAATTCAGATGACAACTCGCCGTAAGCCCTCACCTGGATGACTGCATGAGTTCGAGTAGAGTGAGAGCCTTGATCAGTGCAATGTATTTTCTGGGCATTCCCTTTACAGCCAAGAATCGCCAGAGTACCTCTCGGTCGACAGAATCGAATGTTG